TTTTAGGGCCATTATTCCCAACTGAATTTATCCATAATAAGTGTGTCTCTCTTCCAACTTCACATTTTTTATACCATCTCCTATCAAGAAATGGCATTGTTCCACAAAATGTTCTGAACCTTTACCTAAAATTTTGAGAAAATAATTCAAGCTGAATGAAATACACATTATTTAACAAACCTCTATGTAAGGACCTCAGTAAGGACACTTATTTCAATTATTTCCATGGTGTTCCTTCCTGAAAAATAATTTCATATTGAGAAAATCCTAACCATGGAAAATATTGGGACACAAATTAGTTTGCATGATTTGAAATTCAATATCATTTTCAATGAACATTTTGAAAGAGCTTTGGATTCATATTCAACTCCATGAACAAATTTATTTGAAAAATCCTTTGGAAAGAAGAAGTTGATTGCCTTTTTTCCCAAGACTCCTTGCTACATGTAAAAATGAAGTAGCAAGTATAAGTAAAATTTAATAAACTCACCAGTGTTCCTGAGTACCATGCAATAGCTAGTTGTTCACATTGAGTTCATTGGCTTCCAAACAAAAAACAAAATAGACTGATATACCCTGTAAAATTAACTTCAATTATATAAAGGAAGAATGATTTTAGGGGGTCACTTTCCTTCTTTAAATAAGCGGGTAGCAGAACTATTGAAATGGTTTGGCTGTATAATAGATCATTGATTGATCTACTCTCTTTTTTCAATTTTCACCACTTCTGTTTGTTATATATGCAGCTTCACATATTCCAAGTCTTCATTCCTGAAATTTCATGTATTTTTTACCTGTGTGTGTGATAGATCAAAAGTGCACCTTCCTACCTGTCAATATAAGTCCCTATAAAATGTGTATACAAAACCATGACATGCCTGCTTCACAGGGACATTCACATTGCCACAGCTCATCATTTTCCTTTGGAATTATCTGAATCTCATGTGGAGGCTGCCAAACAGGCATTTCATAACATTTGTTTGTTCTATATCCACTCTTGACTCCACACAATAATATTATGATATTTATGATGTGACCAGCCTTGAATAATACTACACCATATTATTATACAACCTCTCACACTCTTTCAAAGATATCTTCAGTCTTCTTGTCACCCTGTTTTCAACTAAAGTCTAAAATTCGCGATTCTTTCGAATTCAAATTCAAAATTTTTTCCAATTCATTTGACAGTGACACAAACGAAATCAACAATCACGTGGTGGGGAAACACTGACGTCATGCCCCTCCGCGCACCCCCGCACCATAATGCTATACTATGAGGTAACCTTATAGAAGTTAATAGACCTTGGACATTTCCTTCTTTATTTTTGATTATTTGAAATATCAAAACATGAATGAGATATTAAAAGACTTGGTTGGTAGGTTTCTGTATATAACGTCGTCCAATATTAGTTCCAAAAAAGCTGACGGCTAGGTCATTATACCTACGGGGAAAAATAAAAGTTACTGATTCACGCTTAACTTCCTAACGTCGTGGCAAAACTGAGTGATTAAACTTTAGCTTCATCATGTTTTGGATTGAAGTGTGATCTCTTCTTAACACAATGGTTTATGATTCACGTCAATATCTTCTTTTAACGACAAAAGATACAAGTGTTTTAATTTTAAATTTGCAGAACTTTATGCATGAGTTTATCGATCAACATCTCAAAATACATCAGTAAGATATATTATATTAATTATTTCCACCTCGTTTTTTTAGCGCACTCACCAGTAAACAGAAATCTTAATAACCTTAATAACCTACTAAATGATGTAGTCAATAAGGAGTATGCCCATTGTGTTAAGAAGGGATCACAATTCAATCCGAAACATAATAAAGCTGAGTTTAACCACTCATCTTTGCCACAGTGTGTTAGGAAGAAGGATGAAAGAGTAACTTTTGTTTTTCCCTGTGAAAATCAGGCTAACACTGAAACATTAATTCACGATTTGGTCATTATTTCACCAGAATTGGATAAGAATTAAAAAAGTTACAGGGCGACCAATTTGGCTAAATGTTTTACTGGCCGGCTTTTTTGCCAGTGAGTGTATATATCTATATAACATTGAATAAAAAAGTGTCAATTGAAAGGCTTTATTTTGGAAAATCAATTTCTCATTAGTACTCATCTTTGAAACAAAAACATGAAATTAAAAGCAAAACTATACAGGGTGTTTCAAAATTCAGTATAAAGATTGCAGGGACTTATTTTTCAGGTCAAAATGACACTTCATTTTTCTATACATTTGTGTCTGCAAACACTTCGTTACCGATCTACAGAGCGTTATTTTTTTATTTTCCAGAACCTTTTATAGAAAGTCGGGTTTTGTTAGGTTTCTTATTATTATTATATTATTATTTAGGTAATGTTTGGAAACTTGTAATTAATATCACAAACTAAATATGTAGTTTTTTGTTCTTATGAAATAAAAGATTCCTCCCTTGTGTTAATTTCAAGTAAATCTAGTGAACTATTAAAATGTTTTTTCTCGAAAGCATTCGCAGATGCGTAAAAATTACAAGACAAAAAAGTTTAAAACCAAAACAGACTCAATTTGTATTTCAGAATCTACAAAGTAGCGCACAATAAACAAGTTTATAACTTCCTGTAGATTCTTACAATTATGTTAAATACCTATGTTTCAAATTTGATCTGAATATCTCGAAAACTAAGAGCGATGAAGAAAAAAAGAAAAATCTTGAAATTTTAACGCTCTGTAGATGGATAACAAAGCGTTTGCGGACATATGTTAACAGGAAAAAGTATCATTTATTTCTGAAAAGAAAGCTCCTGAAATCATGATACTGAATTTTGAAACACCCTGTATATTTGATGAATATTTTCATCAGGTTATACTTGCCTACCAATTACACAATATAATCACAATATCTAAATGAAATTGCAGAAAATATTGTTTGGTATGTATTCAACATTTGGTATTGATCTAGCTAAAAAGTTGATTAATATTGATAAACATCAGGTAGGTACTAAAATACATACAAAAGGAAATGGACTTCAAAATCCTGGAAACTTTCAACATTAGGTACCTACTCATATCAATTTCAACTCAAGATGATAAAAAAATTGTAGTATTACTCAGTACCTACAATGAAACACAACATGTGAAACCCTATTCAACACAACATAGTATATCAATTTCAACTCAGGATAATAAAAAATGGTAGAATTACTTAGTACAATGATACTTAACATGTGAAAATTTGTTCTGTACAACATAGTTGATATTATAATAATTATTACAAATTAGGTTCTCTGAAGAGAATCGCTGGGTCTTAAATAATTTTGCACTTAGTACAAAGTTGACGAAGCTCTTAGAAAATGTTGAAACAAGTATATAAATATAAACTACACATCTGATAGACTATACTAAACATTTATTGATATATAATTCATCTAGTTATTAATATAAAAATATATGTACAATGCTTGGCGACGATGTTTTTGGAACTAATTCGTTTTGCGTCATTCAAAATCGATTCGCCCTTATAATTTCCGAAATAATAGTTTCCATAAAACATGCAAAAACATGCAAAAACACGTCAAAAGTGATAAACAGGGGGACAAAATTCAACATATTCACACCAAGTCACATTCACCACCACAACGGTTGTGGTGGTGAATAGATTGTGGCACAACCCCAGCAGAGCAACACACGTTTTAAAAAGGATTAGCCTACATTTTTTGTTTATACAAGGTGACATTGGAATAAATACAAATATCTCGAACCCTAAGAAAACTCGAAGTAAAATATCGAAAGGCACCAATGAAAAAATAACGAGATCAACATAAAATTTGAGGTAAGACTCCTTTTTCCACCTGAAGTTCTATACTATAGCAATTATGATGTCTTGAAGTAGCGTACTTTCAATGTGCTGAATGCATGTACCCACTAATTTCAATTCAATTTTTACTATTATGACCAGATTTGAAATTGGATTCCGCATAGATAATTGATTCACCTATTATTAGTATTATTATTAGTTAGTATTGTGAAAGGGGACGGGACTGGTGCAGTTGAACAGCGCCCGACTCGCGACCGCGAGGTAGTGCGTTTGAATCCCAGTTTGGGCAAGGAAATTTTTCAATGTTTAATTTAGGAATAAAATATTGTAGTTTCGGAGCATCGGCTAGAGATAGTCCTGCACGATTCGCTGTTGCGTTCCAATTAGCAGTGCTGCTCCTAAAGTGGCGCATGAAGTTAGTAACATAGCCTACACAGAACACATAGGAAAAAATGATGATGTGATTGTGAGCACTGCCACTGCAGCATATGGTAGTGAGTACATGACTAACCAACGAAACACAACCGAAAAACTCTGAAAGAGAGCTGATGGACTGTACCTGAAAATCGTGTTAGCCAGCTCTCTCAAGTGAACCACAACACTCATTACACCCATTGGGGCTTGCAAAAAGGTAGAATGAGGGACTAGTTGCTGAAGTGCAAACGTCCCCCACTATTCTACCAGCAGTAATGTGAAATGAATGAATTCTACACTAAGTGTGAAGACGTCAAAATGCTTCTCTCTGTTAATAATTTTTGAGGTGTTTTTTCCCGTTTCCCAAAAACTGTAGTTAATCAACGCGGATTGATTTTGAATGAACACAGAATACCGGCTAACACAGAACCCCCCTTTCCTCCTTGAATTTTCTAGGGATATTTGTGAAATTTGGAACATCGAATATGCTCACAAGAGGGCACTTTCTCACATTCTTGTAATTATTATTCATATTCCGGTTTTCCTGGAAATGACATCAACTTTCGATTTTTAAATGGAACATCCAGTATTATATTCCGTAATGAGTTCGGGATCATCATAACGAATTCAACGATACAAGGTTTGATAGGGTTACTTCAAAGGATCACGATGATATTTGCGTTCTAAATTTCCATATGCTCACTGGGTGTTACAGCGCAATATCTAAACTTCTTTCTCTGTCATACTTATTGAGTATATGGAAATTTTGAACGCCAATATATCTTCCTAATCGTATGACATAATCCAATCAAACCCGGTATCATTGAATTCGTTATAATAATCCCTAACCGATTATGGAATTTAGGTAATTTGAGAATCGAAAGTCATTACCAAGAAAACCGGGAAATGGAAAAAATTCTAAAATGTGATAAAGTGCCATCTAGTGAGCATATTCAATGTTTCGAATTTCAAAAATATAGCTAGAAAGACAAAGGAGAAAAGAGAGGTATAATATGAGTTTGTGTCACCGGGTATAAGGCTCTGGTGATATTGTTTAAAAAATCACCTGTTAGGATGGAAACTTGAGCTTTACCGTATTTCTACATTTCTCAAAAGACTGAGTTACCAAAATATATTTACAAACACAATTCAACAAATACTCATTGAGTTGAGGGTGCAGGCGAAACAGCCCGATTCCTTTTCAGTAAATTTTTGACTTGCTTAACTTTGGAAGCAAACCTCAACGAATTTATACTTTCGGAATAATGTTCTTCGAATGGGGGAACATTAACAATCATCAAAGTCTTCGACGTTCCTCCCAGACATGATTGCAACAGATAGGTCAACTTCGAGTTTCGGTAGGGCACATGGGAATTTTTATTGTAAAGGGCCAACATAACTGTACCCAATGCAGATAAGCTCTTGTTAATACTTTTCGTCTCGACCAATCTCTCACCCAGACTAGTTTTTGCGCTTTCTGAACCCGCCAGATCTACCAAATTGACTGAACCTGTGTACGAGACTGCAGCAGCGGAATTAGAACCATGTAAATATATCTTTGTAACAGCATGGGACCGCGAACTTAGCTCGTTGAAATTTGTGGCTGCTACCATCCTGTGTTTCAGGGCTGATGTCATTAGATCGTGAAAATCTTTAGGCGAATGAATTTGTTGTATTTTGAGGTTGGATACGGTGGTGCCTTTTCCTTCATTGTGACAAATTTCCAAATTCTGAGTACCCTTTGGATCCAAAAGATCTCGGACATTGTCGTTATATATTTCCAGAAAACTGACTTTGACTGTGTACACCCAATTAGATTTGGCTAAACTGTCGATGGTTTCGAATATGAGATTGACAGATCTCGGAATCATACCTGGAAAAACGTTTACATTATATTAACCAAAATAGAATCATGAATATTTTAGCATCAAATGAACTCTTAGGTAAATTTCACATATAAGAAACTAATGATGGAACAATTTAGTCTATCCTTTTTACATGACTCTCCCACTATATGAATAGTGTTTGTATTTGGTGCTAATATTTGTGTATTCATTGAAATGAATCTTGTTTGCAGGGTGGTTGGAATTAAAGTCTCACCATTGGGATCTCGTAAGACCGACAGAGGACGATTAAATTATGGCAAAGTAGGGAAATTTTATGTGTAACAAAATGCCGTTTCAAAACTTTCAAAAATCCTAAGACATCTGAAAAAACCGAAATTTTCTGATACCTAACTTCTTCAAATAACTTGAGAAAAAATAAAAAAGTTTAATGAGATTTCGGTTTTTTCCGAAGGTATTCGGTACTTTCAAAATGACATTCTGTTAGGCATAAAATTGCGCGACTCTGTAATAAAAACCGACCCTGTATATCTAACGGTTTACGAGATCTCATTGCGGAGGCTCTTATTCCAGTCACCATGAACAGAAAATGTTTTCTGGAATTATTTCTATTATATTTTTATATGAAGTTTCTTCATGCATTTGGTAATTATAGATTTTTTACACCGGCAAAAGAATGTTCTTAGTCGGTACTACGATACCAAGCATGCAACTATCTCAATGGTTGCATAATTCAAGACTTGAATTATGCAACTATCTCAATGGTTGCATAATTCAAGACTTGAATTAAATGAACCAAACACAATTATTTTAGAAAAACTTCAGACCTTCATACTTCAGCAATTATAGCAGGATCCCCTTGGCCCATGATATTTCAAAGAATCAATATGGAGAAATTACGATTATCAGAACTCTTATTGAAGGTTTAGGAATAGGGATAAATTAAACATAATCGGATAAGTAATGGTACACAGCAAAACTGCAGATTCCTTGAATAAAAATATTGAGATTTAGTCAAACTTACCTCAGTCCAAAAGTTGATAATAACAAAGATACAAGGTGTCAAAGTTTCAATTTCCATTTGGTTTTTTCTCAATAACTCATCAACAGCGTGACAAAACGGCACGAAATAAATTTGGCATTAGGGGGTTTTCTGAGACGAGAAATTCAAATCCATTTAATTTTCTTTGAAATGACTCAACTTGTTTGTGTCACGGTGACTAATAAATCTGATTTCATCACAGCCTACTAAAAAAATGCAACTGGGAATTTGCGAAGTTGTATTGAACAATTGATATGCAGATAACTTGAAAACAGCCACTCAGAGAGACATTTGCAAAGTATGCCCTTTTTTACGTAAAAAATATCTAAAATACATGAAGATTATCTTCAACATTTAGACTAAATACACCATGACACGAAAAAGATTATTAATTTCAAAGAGATGTAATGTACCATAAGCATCTACAAGGAACATCCAAACTGAGAACGGATTTGAATTTCTTGCCTCAAAAAACTTCCTAATGCCAAATTTCGTGCCGTTTTGTCACCCTGTTGATGAATTATTGAGAAAAAACAAAATAAAAACTTTGTTATTATCAACTTTTATACTGAGGTGAGTTTTGCTAAATCTCAATAGTTTTATTCAAGGAATCTGCAGTTTTACTGTGTACCATTAATTTGCGGACCCCGTATAAATTTCAATTAGATTCAATTGTCAAAATATTCAATTTCAGATGAAATTTTATTATACTATATATTATATTAATTCACTGAGATTACCAGAAAATTATTGGATAATTTGTTCAACATCCACAATGGTAGGATCCCTTTCTTATTTTTAGTGAACCCAGATGAGAAATTAAGATATAGGTATATATAGGCATATTAGTATCTTCTCATGCATTTTACATTAGACGATTTTTTTGTCTATACATAACATAAAGAACATTCATTTGCACATAATATTTGAACAAGAAAACAATATTCATGACTGAACAAAGATGACTCACCAAGGTGTTCTGGTGAACTGTCGCCTTGCATAGTGTAAGTCTTTCCTGAGCCTGTCTGTCCATAGGCAAAGACACACACATCATAGCCATCAAGAGCTGACTGTACTAATTGAGATAGCTCTTCAAAGAATTCAGTTTGTGTACAGGCAGGTGAGAAAACTCTGTCAAACACAAACTCAGCCTTGATGTCAGGAGGCTTTCCAGTTGATGGACATACGGATTCTTTCGTTTTTTTTATTTCAATCACACTCTCACTTGTGTAACCAATGAAACATTGTGGTTTGGTCAACTCAGCATCAGTGACCGGTGGTCTCACTCTACAGAAGACGCGTATGTTTCCTTTCAAGTCTTGGATTGTATTATGGTATTTACGCCTCATTAATTCAGCATCAATGACTTTTTGTCGTAGAAATGATGCTTCATCACAAAGAGATTCGAATTTTGTAGTGAGTTGGGTTAAATCATCCTGAACATGGGACAATAATTCTAATTTAATGGACTTTTCGTGTTCTAGAGTTTTCAGTACGTCATATTTTTGCTTCATATCAATAAAATCTTTCTCCACATGTAACAGCCTATCCAATTCTATTGATTGTTCAAGCTGTAGTTTTTTTAATGAATAATGTTTTTCCTGCAAGTCCTGGAAGTCTGCTTCCAGATTAGTCAACTCATTCAATCTTCTTCTTTGTTCTATATCTTTTTCTTCCAAATCTATGAGTCTAACTCTTTTATTTTCGAGCTCACTTTTTATAGATTCCAAATCTAAAGAAACATCAATGTGTAAATTAATATAAAATGGCATTCATTAAAATTGAACATGGGGGATGCTTTAGTAGTTATGATCAAATCACAGGAAGCTTCACAGCAGTTCTTAGACTTGAACAATGAAATGCAGACAGACCATGATTTTATTTCCTTTAGTTGATACAGGGTGAGTCATGAATAACTGTATGTACATACTCCTACTATGTATAGATGTCCCTAAGGGAAATAGCGATGGGCTTCTACCCTCCTGGGGTATTCTCCACACAAGTTTTTTTTATCTGAGAAGCTCACTGATTTTGTCTAAAAAATCCAGTAAACCCTATAAAAAAGTACTTTTACAGAAATTTACATACTTCAATCTGAAACCCTATATTTTTTTATTTAGGGGACATCAATTTTGGACTTTGACAAGCAGTAACTTCAAAAATGTATAGTGTATTCTTTGTGTTGGCAAAGATTTTTGGTCACATTTCAACAGCTAGTTCAGTTCAGTTTTGAAACAGTTTCTAGTTTCTAGCAAGAGTTATATCAAAAAGTGCACCATGTACAGTCGTATTCAATAAAAAAGCGTACAAGTATTAAAAAGAGAGGATTTCGGGAACCTAGTTCTTGGTGTGTAAAACTAGCACAGCCAATGCTTTTGTGTTTTTGAGAACCTATGACAACTTTGCTGTCAACATTTGGTAAACAATCATTCTCGATAGCCCGTTTTATGCAGAATAGAATGACGTAAATTTCTCTCTGTAATATACTTGCTTTTTTATTGAATACGACTGTACTTATAAGATTTTCGCAGATTGTCATAAATGATTTCAAGTAAGTACACAAATTGTGAATTGACTCGGCCGCTACTTGATGGAAATCCATAGCAAATGTATACAAACTCCACTAACGATAAGATTTCCACAAAATTCATCAGGTGAAATACTGGTACAATGAACTACTAATTCATGTGCTAGCGAAAAATGTCGTGTGATTAAGAATATTGTGCAAATCTTATCATTTTTGAAGTTTTTACATCAAGTACACAAGTAGTCAACAAAAGTAAGATACTTGAATTTTCCTTTCATGGTCCCATTTTTTCAAGGAAATATGTTCAATTTTGAATAGGACCAAATAATATAATATTTATAACAATGTACTATACAAATAAGTGCCCCTTTTTTTAGTATGCAAAATATCCAAGAAAATTCATTGACATGATAATGTACACTGCTGCCCAAATAAATCGTAACGGCTCTTGAGTTATGTTGGTATATTTTGTTTGAGCCCATGTACTATTCATCGTTTAGGCACAATCTCGATCTACCCAAGGGCCCAGCTCATTAGCATTTTATTACCTGATTCAAGTGTTTTGGGTTCATTCAATTAGCAAGAAATTGAGCAAGTATTAGTTAAGATTACCCATCATTTTTTATATTGTAAACGGCAAAGGCTATTTTTACCGTAGTAGAGATTCAGGATATTGAAGAATTGAAAAAATATATAGAATTTTTACGTGTAGAAAATGAAGGAATGCAACTCAATCATTTTGAATCATTAGAAATTAACAAACTAAAAAATTTTGACATTTTACTCAACGATCAATTAGACCTCAATAGTTCACCACTGTTGAATTTGTTTTCTTAGTAGGTAAAAATATTTATTTGCTATCAACCCTTTCAAGTTAATCCGGTATACCGTAATTTAATGTAGAATGTAGATATTGTGCCTAATTTCCGAAAATGGAGTTTTATCGATCCTGTCCACAGGTAATTAATCCTTCAAGTTGGGAAAGTAGGATATATAAAAGTTAAGCAAGCCAAGGTTGGTTTAGTTCATTGTACCAGTATATCACCTGACGAAGTTACTGTGTTAGCGAAACATGGTTTGTGTCTAATTTTGTGGATATCATATCGTTTGTGAAGTTTTTACATTTGCCATGTATTTCCATCTAGTACCTAACGGCTGAGTCAATTCAAAATTTGCCACACCCTGTTTTTCGAAATACTACGGCACTTCTTTTTATTTTCTTGCGAGAAATATTTGCCTTAAATTTGTTACCATGTTATGTAACACCGTGCTGCACCGTGCAGATTTTTTTGTAAATAAAATCAGCCGATGACGTGCATCGAATCCTCCAAGAATGCACTTTAGAAATCATATTATTCAATTTCTTCTTTTAATTTGACAAAACAGTTTCAATGACAATATTATTTAATGTTTTAACCTCCGACATTTCCAGAAGAACGAACATCTGGAATCCTAAATTCTTCTGATACCTCATGTCTATGAACTTTCAAGTCACAAGCTCCGATTTAAAAATAAATGATATAGAACCAAATTATATAATGAATTTTCACTACTCATTCTACCTGCTTTTTCACAGCAAACCATGAAGAGAGATAATGAAAAGATTTTGGTATAGGAAACTACCTTTCGTCGCGGTCGTGCTGGGTAATAAAGATAGATATAGAAGTTCGCGGGCATAAGCAGAGATGAAATCATCACACGAATCGTACCATTGTACCAAATTGTGTTTTTGGAAATAGATGTTTCATAAAAAAATAATGTAATAATATACTTATTTGTTTTATTATGTTCTTCCTAACATTTCAGCAGTAGATCTCCAAATCAAAATTCAGTAACAAGTTAATGCATAATATATACGCAAGCACTTTTTTTATTATTGCCACTTTTTCACAAATTTGAATTCTCAAAATTTTCACTAATAGAGAAACACATGTCTTCTTTTTTTTATGGAGTAACGGTACTGTTCTCATTTTATGTCATTACAATATTTCATTTTGGTAGTATCCAAGTTGAAAATAAATGATTGATGAGAAATATACCTAATTCTTGTTTGATTTTCATGTTCCTAAAAAAAAATCAACTGCCACTGAACCTTGGGCAACGCTGATTAATGTTATAACTGTGGTAGCCATAAACTGTGTTTAATGGAGACACCCATTGAACATATCTACAAAGTAGGTATGTAATTGAATACATAAAGGGAAATGTGCAATGAGTAATGTACTGTCATAAAATGAAAAATTCATAGAAGTATGCAGAGAAAAATCTTACCAGCCAGATCACTTTTAGCAGTTTTCAAGGTGTCCACAACCTTGTTGTATTTCTCACTCAAATTTTGGAACCTTGTCTTGTAATCCCAATCAGGGATTTTAACTTGTCTAGTTTGTTTGGCAGATTTGGGTTTGATGTCATCATCAGTTTTTGAGATAGCAGGCCGTTTTACTGGAGCTCTCTTAATGGAACTTGGGGGTTCTGCTCTATCAGTGGAAACTGAAGGTTCTACTTTCGGTTTTGGACGTAGTCTCTGACTCTGAACCCTTTCACTGATTGGCCGCAAATCAGTCACAGATTTTGAACGTCTGCTAATTAATCTAGAGAATACAGGTCGGGGTCCTGCTCTGACTTCAGGCCTTATTGCAGCAACATTTGGAAGATTCTGTTTATTATCAGACAATGGTCTGGGATTGGTAAATACTTGTGGTGCTCTCAATCCTGATGGTTTTGGTAACTTTGATTTAGGATCCATAATTAATTTTCCTTGAAAAAACTATCAATAGTTGAAGGAGTTATCATCATAAATCTAAATAAGATTGAATATACAGGGTGGCCCAGGGTTAAACCGCCAAACGTTTAGGATCAGTTTTTTAGACGGAAATAAGACTTTTTCTTTTTATAAGCATGTGTCCTAACTTGCTTCATTCTATCTAATATTAGGATAAATCGTTGTACGCCACTATTTTATTTGTATGTTTATTTTTTATATCAAACTTTCAAAAATAATTTAATTTATTTGTCTCATCGATTTGTTTATTATCTCTATTCATTTTCGAAAAAAAAAAAAAAAAACGTTTCCCTGCATGTAGCAGGATAAAACTTTCTGACTGATATTATGACAAAAACTGCTCAAAATGACGACCATCTTTTACAATACAGTTCGCACCTACGTACGACAGATTCTAATATTAGATACATTACCCTCTGGGACGCTACTGGAAATAATAATTTTATTCTAAGTAAACAGGGGCCCCTTATTACCTCAAATGAGCATGCCAAGTTTTATCAAAATCAGCCCAAAGGTTTTTGAGTAATTAATGAAAAACTGATTTTTTCTGAAAACTTTGACACCCTATATCTCTGAAATGAAGCAAGTTAGGACACATGCTTATGGGAAGAAAAAGTCTTATTTTAGCCTAAAAAACTGATCCTAAACGTTTGGCGGTTTAATCCTGGGTCACCCTGTATATACATTAATCATAAACAATATTTTTCCAAGAATAATTTGATCAAGTTTCCCTGGTCCAAACGAGATTATAGATCTTCTATAAAAGATTGAAAATTAATTGCAGAATATCCCACAATGAGATATATCATAATACAAACAATTCACAGTTATACAGGGTGTCCAGAGAAAAAACCGACAAAACTGACGGGGTTGAGGGACTGCCAATATAATAATTGCAAAATGCCATAAGCAAATGTCCAAAACCGCTTCGTTACTGACATACATAGTGATTTGTGGATTTTGACAAAAATTCGATCTGCCATATTAAATCCAGGGATTACCCGATTTTTTTCGAATTTGGTACATGAATACTGTCTGTAGGTTAATCGAGGAGGTGGTACATTCATTTTACTTGATAAAATAAAAATATGAGTATTATTTCAATATATGTGTAGTAGGACAAATCAAATGATTTGCCCCAAAATGTCACTGCGTTCAAAAAACTTTTCTATCAGTGAGCCTAAAAGAAAAATCCAATAGTCAGTGATACTTTGTTTGGAAAGGAAGAGAAGAAATAAAGATATGTATATTGAAAAAAAATCGAATATTTTCTTATCTGTGGACGTTTCTGGAACGAATCTGCTCCCGTTCTCAACATAAAAATGCAAAAATATTTTTCTTCTAAAGTTGTGTTCATATAATTATAGTATCGACTGAAGAAATACTACATCGTCAAATTTATAAATCAACTATCTAATTTATGAGGAAAACTCCGAATCTTATTCCCATGAGAAAATCATTCTACATGCATATGAATAATTTTTCGCATTACCATAGATGAAACAGGTTTGGTTCATCTATGGCATTACCAAGAATTATTGTTGCAATACAGGGGCGGATCCAGAAGGGGGGCCATGGGGCCATGCCAAATGTAGGTATTTTGAATAAGTGGAAAAAATCTTACACCATTTTTTCCATTTATTCAAAATACCTACATTTTTACATATCCATGAGGTTCCCGAGGGGGGGGAGTCGTTATAGCTAGAAACTTCGCAACAGCTCTGAGGTATTGCGAATTTGTAATTACACTCTGCTGTTTGGCAAATATATTTTCGATAACACTGCCACTCAGTAATTTGCTCCAAATAAAAAAACTTCTTGTTAGTATCACTAATCTGATGCTTCAAAATAAAAGTGATGATATTCTAAATACTATCTAAAAATTTCGAATGATGCCAATCAGAAATTGAAAGAACTGAATGACCATTACAGAATAACTGTTTTCATCCCACTGTTCGATAATATTATCCTTGATCTGAAAGATAGACTGTCAGAAAATAAATTGAATCTATACAACCTTCACCATCAATAACTAAAAACAAAACAGATGAGAAAATATATGAGGTATGAGAAATATACTATGGAGGAAAATGAGGGATACAAAGCAAAATATACCAAACAATGGTATAACTGCTCTAAAGGAATGTAACTAACATTTGTTTCCTAACATAAACATTCTTCTGGAACTATTATGTTGCCTGCCTGTAGGTGTTACATTTCCTGAAAGAAGTTTTTCAACACTCAGAAGGCTGAAAGATTGGATAAGATCCAGAATGGTCCAAGACAGTTTAAATGGATTGATTCACAGGGGCATCTATACAGCAGTCTGAATGTTGATGATATCATCCAAAGATACGCTAGTCAGAAGAATAGAATACTGGAATTTGTTATTTAGTTTTTAAAATTTGATTCTTTATTTTATATATTTTCAATTTTGTCTCTTTCATTCGTTTTGTTTTTGAGGAGAGATATCTTTATTCACTTTTGTACCCAAATTTTTCAAGAGAAATATTTTTTTATTTACTTTTTTTATCCAATATGATTTAATACAGAATTTTACATATATTGATGGAAAAAGAATAGTTTGAACTTGTTTTTTTACACCAGTAATTTCGATACTTCAAAGGAAACTAAAGATTTCATGTTTACTATAATCATTTTTTTTTATGAAAAAGCATTTGTCTCAGAAGTTTACCATATAATTTCTCTTCCGCGCTAACCTTATTGAGCCGTGACTTTCTATGTCCCCCCCCCTCAAACATCGTCTGGATCCGCCTCTGTTGCAATATAATTTTTCGACGAAGAATTTTCCCATTAATTATATCGCTGACTGCGAGAATATCATGAAACATGAATAAACTCATACGTTCGTTTTGTTTTATATGATAATATAATCTTCATTTGAAAGAAGAGATTTTGATGATATCGACAGAAAAAAAAGGTGAAATCTCAGTTGGAAATGTTTTGTATTCATTCTGCTCGCGAAAGTCTTTGGGTGAAGAATATATCAAAAATGTCCTCAGTCATTGCAATAATTTTTTTCTTCCTTTTTTTCGGACTTGTCAATTTATATAACGAACAAAAAATTTGTGATTCATGGTGCAAAGATTTAAAAGGTGATCGAAATCAGTGTTATTTTGATAAAAGAAATTGTTTTGAGAAATTTGTGCATTTAGAGAACAAGGTCATCTTGAATTTGAAATCAGAGGTAGAGAATCTCAAATTCCTGTTGGAAGGATGCATTGACAATAAAACTTTCACTGTAGATTGGGAAAAGAACTATTTGAAAATAAATAACGATAATCCTAAATTCAATTGTTCACTCAACTGGAGAATAATGAATAGCCAAATTAATGATTTAAAATTCAAGATAAATTCTAATAACGAAATGATACTATCTCTTAAACTATATAATTCTCAAATCATGAAAAAATTGACAAGATGTGATTCTTTCCTCTATAATTCAGAGACAGAAAATATACAGAATAGTGCAATGAATCGCAAATTTAGATTGAATTTGAATTTATCAAGATCCAAGAATCTGAAATATCAAAAAATAATAAAGAATTTAAAACGAAGAATTCAAAATTTAATGAAAAAACTTGCTTCTAAGAAAGAGAAGAATTGTTGTATCAGGAATTGATATATCGTTTGAATAATTGAAATTGAGAACCGAAAACAGGTGATGTGGATTAGGCCTCAATAAATAGCTTTATATAATATTCTATATAAACTATCTAATGGGGGAAACCACAATAAAAAAAACGAGCCGATCACTTTACCTCATGGGTGGTTTTGGAAACGAGTGAAATACTTCAACAATTTCACTTCTTCAATCGGAATGTCAATTCACAAGTGGTGAATACACAAATTATTCCTTTGGTTTATAAAAAAGACGGCAAATTATTTTCTATTGCCTTGATTCGGACGTACTTTCAAACAATGATTAAAATCTTCAGTAAATTAATTTTCCGAAAAAAAAAAGTTTAATATTTGAAAGGTGTATACGCTTGTTTTGTATAACTATGGAAATAATAATGGCTAACCGAATATTTCTAATATGTTTTCTTCCGTTAGGCTGAAAAGAAACACGCGATGAAATTCGTTGTTTTTTCAAAGCAAATGAGCAGTCTGATACAGTTCATTTTGGCTAATAATATTTTCTGGCGTGTATTCAAATGATATTCTCTATTCAGAAAGTATTCAATGTGGGTCTGGAAAAGAAATTTGAAAAAAAAACGAAACAATCAGTCGTACATTGAATTTTTATACGTTCCAGTAAATATTATTTCCTACAGGGTGAGTTATGTGTCAGGACTACAGTGAAGAGCAAACTTTCAATGTTGTATATTTCGTTCACAAAAATTAACAGTTGACAAAAAAATACAGAAACTGTAATTGTCTGGATAATACAATGGGGTTGAAGAAACATCACAAACGATAAGATTTCCACAAAATTCTCTCGTACAATCCGTTGAATTTAAAATTTTCAAGGTGGATGAAATTGTCGACGGATATATGAACTTACAAGTATGTATTTTCATGTCCATCAAAACTCAAGACTGTAATTGTCTGGATAATACAATGGGGTTGAAGAAACATCACAAACGATAAGATTTCCACAAAATTCTCATGTACAATCCAATTTAAATAATAATTTATTACCGAATATAACTTAAATTGTGCCAGAAACTTTCTCAACAAGTTCCAATAGTATTTTTTCCGTAGATTCATAACATGACCTCGGATTTTTGATAATTATTATACAGGATGAGTTATTCTCTCAATAACTCAACATAGGTCCTGATGTTGGTTTCCTTCAGAAGGCTACTATTTGAAGCCTTTGAGTTTAATTCATGTATCAAATTTGAACCCAATAGGGTAATCCATGTATTCAATATGGCTGATTGAATTTTTGTCAAAATTCACAAATCAGTCTGTATGTCAGTAACAATGCGGTTTTGAACATTCATATATGGTATTCTGCAATCATATTGGAAGGCCCAATAACCCCACGAGTTTTGTCGCTTTTATATCTGGATATACAGGGTATATCAATACATCAAAATTGTTTCCCAAGTTAATCATAATCATAAAACAACATCATTATCATTTGATATACAAAAAAATTAAAAATGACGATATTATGAATTTGAATATTTGTATTCTCATCAAAATATATTTGAATATACCATAAATTTGGGGTACAGATCTATGATTAGATGATTAATGATGATTTCATGTTAAAATCTCACACCAAATGTAAATCAATATGTCAAAATATATTAACCTATGACATATCACTCAAAATGAGTATTTGTATTTTTTCTGAAAATATAAACATTTTGAACCATATTCAGTTGTGGCTTTATTTCTAATAAGAATAACTCATAATGCTCATAGCTTTCAAATTAGTTTCAGACACTCTCTTAATTAGTACATATTTCAGAAATATCTGGTCTAGATATGCAGAACTAATGGAGATATCTATTGAAATAAATGTATGACATGCACTGGGGGTGAGATGGTGAATGCTACACCAGGCACCAGAGGTATGGATGAGTACTTGAAATCTATTTTCAGCAGTTCTTAACCTGATTTCAATATTTTTCATTCCTGAAATATACTGATATCATGAGAAATATCAATTAAATATTATAATAGGGAATCCAAGTAGGTATTTATATGTTCTTGAAATCAGATACAATTCAAGAATCAATAAAATTAAAAATCAATTTCATGCACATGCCACTGAGGAGACTGAACCATTACTAATAGCCTGAAACTGATATGAGGGGGGTTAGTCACTACCTGGCCCCAATTCAAGCACAATTCAGTATTCAGGAAAAAGCACCTGTATTCTGTATTTGGTTATAGATCAGTGTGCAGATTTGAGGAGGACATAATTGAAGGTTCAGGGATTAGCCCAAAAAGGAGTTGATTTCTCTAGTTATATCTAGCATTGTTGTTCAATTTATTGATATCAACATTATATGAAAAAAGATTTTTCCTTGAGTTGTTCACTCACTCTTTGTGTAAATTATTAATAATGGAAGTGTTGAAACATAAATGGATCATATAATGATAGTTCCTCAGAAACATCATTACTGAATCTAATTTCACTAAGCTTGTGGAAAAACTCATTGCATCATTATTTTACAGAAGCAATCCTATTATACCTACATAAACACCAAATACTTAAAAAAATCATCAAAACTTTGCACATGATCCTGAACAGTTGGTGAGAATTACAATAATTACAACAAATATGATGGGAATTAATATGCTTTCCTGTCAATGATAATACACATACTTTTCACAATTTTACTTTGATAATCAGGAGGAAAGTCTTGTACAAGACATATAAGTACAGGTATCCATACATGTCCATACTTTGCATGTATTTGAGGTTGTTTTGGACAGAGCCAATAACAGCTCTACTGTGGCAATACATACATAATGAAAATCTGGCATTAGCCATTTCACAGACAAATAATTGCCAGAATTCCAGAATGAATACAAGGCTTTTTCAAGATTCCAGTACGTGCACATTTTTTTGATCATTTGTAAAAAGTTGTACCAAAACACATAAAAAATAATCACTCTACCTGACTATGCAGTTCACTAAGTCGGGTCAGGAGTTAATTATGTATTCACGTATTAATAGCATTTATAGAAAAACGTGATTTCAAGTCACAAGCATCATAAGATTTTGCAGTAAATCGTTCATTAAAATATGAAGGCAGGAAGCCATGACGCCCCTTTGAACGTATCACTTTAGTTTGGATACTTGCACTGAATTCAACTTACCTTTAATGATAATTTTCAACAAAACGAAAACAATGATATTAATTCTCTAATATATGCCAGAACTTGGCTATGTTAATTACTCAAAATACATTACAGATATAGAACAACCGACAAGACAACAACCTAAAACAACAACCGAGCCCCACAACAATACAACAATATTGACAACTTACTGAACTAACGCTAACGGAAATACGGAAAACGGAATTTTCAAATTTGAAATTGACATTGACATGCAAACGAATGACAGCCTATCGCTTGCCAGCCATAGAATCCGTCCTATGAACAATGACAGTGACATATTTCGACTAAACATTCAAAAGTCAAAAGGTAGTGTGGCTTTCGCTGGGCAAGCGTAATATATCAATCAACGCTATAACTGAATTCGTGCATCATCAGCTGGACTCTTCAGGTTCCGAAAGAAGAAAAACACATCCTTGAGGGTCTAGTTCAATTTCATAAAAATATTCGAAACGCATTTTGGAATTTTTCAAGAAATTCTCCATCGTTCACGCCATCTATCATCGAATATAGGAACCCCACGTTCCGAACTATAGCGAATTCCATCCGTAAACCTGGTGGTGCACTGGTTTTGCACCAGTTTTGCACTCGCACTACGTTAGTTCTCTCCAAAAATATTGTTGGAGGTTAAATCGGATAAGTTGGTTTGTCAAAGTAGATGTTTCATGAAAATAGTTTTGAGCACTTTTTTCAATTACTACCTCTTCATCATCGAATTTGCAAAATACTGTCAACAAAATTATGAATTCTGGGAAGTAATCTCCTTTATTTTCTTGAATCCTCCAACATTTCATCATTATTTGATGGTGATGATTTGATTTCCACTAACAATTTGGGCGTGTTTTTCATTCCATCGAAGAAAGTGCGCATTAATAGATGCGGTTTTTTGTCGTGACGACGTCACCAATTGTTCTGATGAAATTTATGCTGGAACGATGGAAGAATGGATTATACAACACATTGATGGAAAAAAGGATTTCGTTGTGTGTCAGTCGTTATGTATCTTCAGAATTAGAAGAGGATGATACCATTTCATTGATTAAGACTTATTTCTCCATATTCTCAAATCTCTCAACAATCTCAAAATTCAAAAATTCCTCTATATTTTCAATTAACAACAAGAAACAATACGTAAAATGTGTCAAAGCGATTTGAAAGTGCTCATTTTATTAAAACAGTTTGATGGATTTCCAACAACATTCCAGCGGAATTTTGCAACACTACGATGGATTCTTCGATTCATGCGCATGACAAAATGTTGAAATGAAAAACAGTTTTCAAACTATACATACTTAATGTTTCCGCCATTTTCAATACTGCACTGACTTCGCACGACCTATTTTTTAGAGCTCGTGCGAGAATTGTGGCACTGAGCTCTAAACTATGTACACAATTGAAGAGTGGGCACACCAGAGGAATTATCGACATCTCAACTACAACTTTAAGGAACTGGCATCTACGAATTATGTCCTGTTGACACTCCTGTCATCTGGGTGCATTTGTTTTTGGATGTATGACAAATTGATATTCATCATACTGGACGTGGAAAGAAATTATGAGAAAACCTAAATGCTAATCACGAATCTGCGATTGAAGATCAATGAAAATAACAACTTTCCATCGTTCAAAAAAAAAGTCCCTACAATTCTACCTTATATAGTATGATTTCATATTCCATCACATTAATAATACACTACAACTGAGAGATGTTCATAATTTCTGTATTTTTTTTCGTGATTGTTATTTGGTCCGATGTCCGATGGCCATTAAAAATGGGACGATATCAGCGCCTCCTACAGATTTTCTATGAACAAGAACCTCTCATAAGGTGTCGTCAGTTTTTGACCTTAGATCATACAGAGATACAAACATCTCAACTCAACTACAACTACTACTACTACTAGTACTACTATATGAAGTGAAAAGGCTGTCAGTCTAGAATGATTAGAAAATTTAGATGATTTAAACAAATTCTGCCAGATGGCAGATTGTCATGAATTCATTTGGAATCCATAATATACTGCTGTGTTTGTTACACTTCCATCCTCTTGTTGATTTCGTAGTACTAGTACCTATAAGATCTCCGATTAAATTCATATACATTGCTCATTGCTCCCAATAACCCAATATATATTTTTTTGATAATCAGGTTACGTCAGGATATCAACTACGCCACTGTTATTGACACAAGAGAAGCAAAGAGAAATCGCTAGTGTGGAACTGCGATTGCGATGTGTTTCCCTATGTTTTCAATTTTCAAGATTTCCCTAATTAACTAGAACGCTATATTGTCTTACATTATCTACAAGAGCGTTTATGATCCGAGGATGTAATTAGTGAGCAAGAAGTCGATAACCTTTTGTGTCGTTGTGCTATATGTGACACGAAATTAGGATAATTATTATTGTTTTCATCTGTCCACATAAACATGGCTGCTGCAACTACTCATCTTTATATTTAACGCAAATGAATTCAAGAAACATCCAGACTGTCCCAGTGATCAACATGATCATTCAACGCCCAGGTAGGTACCTACCTACTTAACGATCCATTATTGTTCTATAATTTGTCTCCAGTCGCCAGTCACTATGTGCTAAATGGAAATTAGAATAGTGTTTACAATACAGCAACAATCATCAGTATAATGATGTGTGTATATGATTTCTGTATGCTCTGATTCCATTTAGTGGGTGAATGTTATCATCCCACTGGTGTGCTATCTAGGAAAGTGATATTAAGCACAGTATACAGAATGTCAATGTATATATACCAAGGAATTTCAGTTGACCCCTAATGTTGTGATCACACTTTATAATGGATTCAAAAACTTTTGAAATTTACTCCTCATTTAAACAAACTCATAAATGTATGAACTTTTCACTCATGTTTGTTTTATCCCATCAATTACCTAATGATTATATTTTCCATGAACCAGATGAGCAATTTCTTGATTTTTTTTAGGCTGTGTCTGCATGTCAGGCTGTGGTCTGGGCAAACTATGAACTTATTTGGTTGCCTGTTTCCATGTGCACTGCAGCACAGTTGGTGGAGTGTTGGTAGTGAGCAGTGCATGCCAGAAGAATTCACACACAGGATGGGAGTGAATGCATCAACTTCACCAGGCACTGATGCAAGCTTGGTTGCTGGATTTGGAGGAGACACCTGCACCACTGTATACAGGGATACCATAGGGATGGTTAGGTTAGTGCTTTCCATTTAGACCTTTGATACCACAACTCATATTTGTTTGCCATATTCTAGATTTGAATTGTGTGTATTATCATTAATGGAGATATGAGCACATAAAACTATTTCAGGCTGTTAATCATTTAAGGCAAAAATAACCTAAGTTCTTATGGTTCATGGTTCATGCCACATTTGATGATGATATAGTCACTTACCAATATAGACAAACACATCATGACAAAATCAGAATGTCTCTTTAGTAATGAGTAAAACTTCATATCACAGCAACTACACAAAATTACAATGTAACCATTGCTTGAGAACTTTGTGTATTTGTAGTTCTGCTGCAAGTCATTTCCAAAGGCTGCTGGGGAGATACATAATGATCCACCAGTATTTGTCATCCTTTAATACCTGCAGACCTGTACAGTATCACAGGTCCATAATTTTTCTCAATACATTAATTGTGAGCCATAGTCAGCTATAAAGAAATTATATAAGACCTAAAAATCACATTAAGGAAAAATACAAATAGAAAAATACACATAAATACTAGAAATAGATAGAAATGTGTTAGTGTTCATTTATACAGTGAGGACCAAAAGTCCCCTTCCCCTTCCTCCTGTAACTTTTTGATTTTACATTACAAAAAATTTTGAAAGCTCTCAAAAGGTTAGGATAGGAAAGTGAAATATATTGTGTTCCATTTGTAATGGTTTCCTCATTGAACTGGTGCTAAAATAGTGGAAATAATAATTTACAATTGTTCATAATTCCAAAACTATTAACTTTGGTGGTTTTAAACAATCTATCAAACTTGTTCAAAATTCAACTTGGAATCTGAAAATGCAATGATAAACAGGGTGTCCCATTTATAGAAATACACTTCTGAGTCTCTACTTTTATGAGACACTCTGTATAAATAAACCTCAAACCATTGAATAGTTCAAATGAAACCTTACCTTATGTAAACATAGAAGTTACTAGGGGGGCGACAAACTATTGGTCATCATTTCATAACAGTTGCCATAATCAGTATTCCTGAAAAGTGAAAAAAGATGCTCATCTCCACCTACTTTTCAGATCTTCTGGTAACTAAAGATTTTGCTTTAAATCCTTACTTCAACAATAAACTCTTAGACAGAAAATTCTCGAAAAAATTATATATATATGAAATCTGTAGAAATGTAAGTATGTTATTAGTATTCAGTATATGGTAATATGGTATATGGTGATCACACAAAAATGTCATATGATTATTGCAAAAATGATCTCAAAAACAATAGAAAAACATGTTCATTGCTACATGTTATGTATAGGGTTGCAAGTAATTTGAAAAGTTTCTGAAGGAAGGTCAAATTTTTTGCCATGCTGTACAACATCAACATTGTATCAAATAGGGCAGTGCTGCTGGGTACCTGATTATGTCATCTAATACCCAAATACTGAATAATTTGCAAATGGTGAAATTGAATGGGTCTGCAAAAAAACTTATTATAGTCTAAGACTAACAACTGACCCAAAAAACATGCACCAATCTTGAGAATACTGATGACAACAACTGGCCATGATGTCCAAGAAAAACTCTTGAGGCAATCAAAACATCTTTATTACAGTAGTTTTTCCAGAAATCTTAATGGTAAACGGCTATCTAATGAATGTGTGCGCCTTAGACAGCTCTGATACCTTGCACATGACAAGACTGAGGAGTTCAAAATTTGGTATGACGTTAGGATTTCGTGAAGAGCATATAATTTTGACAGTCAAAGAACATGATTCTTTTCAATAATAGTAGAGAGGTAGGTACCCTCAAATAATTTTCATTTTCTTGGATTGGTATTGATACTTTGAAAGAACTTTCATTCAATATTTTGGAGAAAATCATTATCATCTGTCTGTTTGCTTAAGCAGCATCTCCGTACAATTTCCATCCAATATTTGTTACAATACGCAAATGGTGATTTGAATTTTCAGGGAAAGGAAGAAGAAAGTGACAGGATTTGCTACCCTGAAGAAAAAGTTCATAAGACGAAGACGATCCTCAAAGGCTTGCGACCATGGCAGGATGCTCAGGGAGCTGGTGTCGGACTGGAGTCCCTTAGAGGTGGCCGCGCTGCTGGAAGAGTACGAAGCCCTAGCCGCCCTGAAAGACCTATGTGTTCAGGCAGAGTTGGCTCGGCCGCCTGCCGCCACCTTCAAACAAGATCTCTCCGCTCTGTACGACTTCAAGTATTGCACTGATGCGGACTTGGTGTACCGGGGCGCTTGTTTCCCAATACACCGGGCCTTGCTGTCTGCTCGTTGCCCATACTTCCGAGATCTCTTGGCCGGTTGTCCCGGTTATGGGGCGAGAATTTGCTTGGAACTGCGGACTGCCACCGTCGACGTGCAATTGTTTTCTGCCTTGTTGCGCTATCTCTACACCGGTGATATTTGTCCGCATAATACTAACATCGACATGAATTTGTTGAGAAGACTGAGGGAGGAATTTGGGACTCCCAATGCTCTTGAGGCCGATCTGAGATATTTACTTGAAACCGGGGATTATGCTGATGCTGCTTTAGGTAGGAATTGGCGGCAATTTCAAAATGTCATTGGTTATTGACTTTGTATCATTTCTGGAGGGATACTGGCACATAATCGATAAAGATCAAAAATAATTTTTTCAAGGAAAGAAGGACTGAATAATAAACTTCATTTTCCTGGTATTCTTCCTGAAAAAATGAGCTTATGATTTGATAACTACTATGATTCAAAAGAAAACAAACATGATTCCATCAGTACACAACATCACAACTATATTTTCACAATTACCTGGAATCTGTGGAGTCCAATAACAACATATTTCCATTCATCAAAGCAATTTCACCTAGAAATTCACTAATCAACATATTTCACCACTACTATTTGGGTTTCATAAATTGAATAAAGGATTTTACCTATATTGCATAAAATTTCTCTGCTCACTGTATTTCAGATATCTATCGGATTGGAAGCTTCACTATTTCCCACAGTTTCGGTATGGAACATATGAAATTTCATTCAATTTGAGGGGGGTTTTCTATGGTAGGAACTTTGACTTTTTTACTACAACTTTCGGAGAAAGAATAGATGATAAAGTCATTATGAATCATTCTATTGGTAGAAATTATACACACAATAATATACAATTATTCAATGCTCATAATTGTTGAAAATTGCGCCTTTATCGAAATAGAATATATAGATTTTAATGACGTCTGTTTTTGATGTTGCTATGCCAACTATGTTTCCAAATCACAATATATGGAAGGATTACATACTAATATCAGTATATAAAATAACCTAGTGTCGGCGAAACATTCGGCAAATATCCTCTGTTAACTCGGTAACTGCACTCTGCCCTATCTGAAAATCATATAAAAATACTGGTGTGCATAGGACCAAACGTCGGAAGTGAAAACTACTATGGCCGGTCAGTATTTCGAATATCTTCTGGACAATACAGGTGAAATCTTTTTTGGATTCCATCATTCTTTAGAGCTTCTTTGAATTCCTTCCATCGTTAATAATAATAATAACATTAATTACTTGAAGTAGGTACTCGCAAGATGATGCATCTCCATAGGAGTCTGTATCCAAATTCGTCCGTTCCACGGTTATACATCTCAATAACAGAATGGTTCTGGATGGTGCCTGCAAAGTCATCATGAGTTCGGATCCCCTTCTGCAAATGGTTAAAACCCATGAAGAGGCAGGAGTAGGAGCTTTTCTCTTTAGGGCAGCACGTCGAGCAGCCGATGAATTGTCTCTGATTTTCGACTCCGAGCGCGAGGCTCAGGACTCAGTTACTGAGGTAGAGCCCGCTCGGAGAAAGGCCCGCATCAAAGCTGCAGAAGTGAGAAAGCTCCTGCAGCTCCACAAGGATTCGGTCTACTTCAAGACCATTGAAGACCGGGGCTTATCCAGAGAACTGACTTTCGCTTTTCACAAGTCAGGCGGGCTTAAATCGGAAACAGAGGAGTTTATCATGGCATGCCAGGATGGGGTTTTCAACACTCTCGTCTACCGTAGCCGTGTCATGGGTATGGAGGTCGCAGGGCGCCCGAGACAATTATGCACCTGCTGTCCTCTTGCACGGTGTATGCAGTCTCGGCTTATATCCATAGACACAATGCGGCATTGCGAGTGCTCTACTACTATCTGAGGCACTCGTACGGAATAGACGAGACCCCAGTGCTACCCTATGCTCCGGGGGATATTGAGTCCGTTGTAGAGAATGAGAGGTGCCGAATTTATTGGAACTTCTGATTCCACACCCTCAGGCAAATACCAGCTAACAAGCCTGATGTAGTCCTCCTCGAACATCAAACCAAAGCGATGCTCGTGGGTTTGATGTTCGTGATCGAGTTTTTGGCGCCAGCCGAACCGAAAATCGTTTTGAAGGAGGAGGAGAAACGGACTAAATATCGAGATTTTCTCTTCGAACTCCGCCGGCTCTATCCAGACCATTCTGTGGAATTGGTCATCCTGATAATCGGTTCCCTAGGAGGCACACGACATACGCTGCTCTCGGAAATCCAAAAAATCCCAGCGTGCAGTGATTAGGCACACATCCTGGCTGGTGGAATGCAGAAGGCCGTCATACTAGGATCATTGCGTTTGCGTTTACTCAGGGCAAAGTGTAGCAAAGCTGTTCTAATGAACCAAGTACCATATTACAACATTAGAATTATATAACTACCTTCATAGTAGCTTAAATATAAACTAATTCATCTAATAAATATAAGTATAACATTATTATCTATTATAAAATCAAGTTCATTCAGGGAAAGAAAAATTATTTTGTGAACTTTTTGAAGTGAAACATTGATTTATTCTTGAATTCTTGTGGGAGAGAATTTTATGCGAAATTATATTAGGTTTGTTCTCGTTCGGAAAATAAACAGTGTGAAAGCATCGGAAGCATGCTCAGTTCCACGGAACATGAAAAATACCAATATGGTTCTGTGAAACTGCGCATGCTGCTGAGGGTTTCGAAATTTTTATTTTTCGAACGAGAACGAACCTTATGAACTTCCGAAGTGTATGTTAATCGATGATGAATATTAATTGGACTTTTATCTTTCAATATTTTGTGAACCCAGCAGGCAATATGCAATTTACGCCTATTGAATATATAAAGCCATCCCAATTTGCTAATTTTACGGGAAATGTCTTCTCTTGTTCTTAGTGAGTAAATGAATCTGATGAAGGAATTCTGAATTCTTTGAATTCTCGCTGACGAAACTGCATCCAAGCATGGACCATATACCAAATCAGATTCGACCTGTGCCTTGAACCTCAGCTTACTATCAATATTGATTCCTAGACTTTTCACTACATCACAGGGATGTACTCAAACCTTGACAATTTCAATTTTTAAATCAGATTCCCTGTACTGATACATTACCAAAACATATAGCTTGGGTCTTCTTTGAGTTAATCCTCAGTCCATGCTTATTGGAGTACTCCACTCTGTTTTCCAAAGTTTGATTCATATCTAAACATGCAGTATTCAACTCATCAGTAAGAAAACTTTGATTTTCTTCTTTGGATTCCTTCTTTCTTGTTTACTTTTTTCTTTGGTTTCCTTACTTCTTTGATTTCCTTCTTTGCATTCCTCCCTTCTTTGCATTCCTCCCTTCTTTGCATTCATCCCTTCTTTGGTTTCCTTTCCTCTTTGGATTTCTTCCTTCTTTGGTTTCCTCACGCGGTGACCCAAGACGCGAGAACCCCCGCCAGTCGCCGTCGATAGTACGGTGACCGTGACGCGAGTTAGCCGTTCTACTCCCATCCCAGAAAATTCCTAACCGGCCTATAGAAGTTATCACTTCAAAAATAAGTGATACAGTAATTTTTACCTTACGGAATCTGAGTGTGAATAGGTCTTTCCATTTGGATGAAAAATGACTGTTGTTGTTAACATCTAGAAACTATCGTCAGAGGCTCAAGTGAATCCACTGAGTTATTCAAAACACCATATATATTGCTGTTACTGCGATATGCTATGTGACGGGAAATAGAAACAGTGGACATACAAACAAACTTCTCAAGATCGATAACAAATTAAAAAAAAAAAACAATACTTGCAATGATACACATTATGCACAATACATTGAACACAAAAAACGTGAAAATGAAAAAAGACCTACACAGCTGCCTTTCAAAAATGTCCGACGAAGGGTACAGGACGTCAGGAGTATTCCCAAGGATCACGTCCGTTGCTATTAATTTTGAAACGGCGATGCAAAAGGAGAGAAGAGTATTATGTCCTATTATATCTAACCAAATGTCTAACATATATTTCTTTGGAGCAGTAAGTTTGCAATTATGGTATATTTCATCTTTTCATAGAAATGGGAAGTTATATTTGGGTCCTGCAGTTTCCTCTATGACTGACTTGCTCTATAATTTATCCTTTCACGATGACAGTAGTTCTTCCTCGGACGAAGAAGAAATAATTGATATTGTTATACGTTCAGAAACGAAGAGACGCCAGCAGGATTTTTCAAGAATTTCAAATTTTTCGAATGAATTCATTATAGGGGATAAGGCTCATCCATTGCACAAGTGGTATATCGCCCCTTATATTGATAGGGGTCACATATCTCCAATGCAGGAATATTTTAATAGAAGCCATGCCAAAACTAGGCAGGATTGAAAGATCATTTGTATCACTCATTTTGAGGTTTAGACGTTGGAAGGAAATGCTGGATATGAAAAGAGTAGATTTGATTCCCAAAACCATAATGCCAGCCCGTATAAATTTTTCGGGACAGGATATATATTTATTCCGGGGAAAATTTCATTATTTCAAATATCTTTGGGGGGTAAATGGAAAGAGAATGAAAATCACGACTTGAGAGGGATGCTTATTCATTTCTCTGAAGTGTAGTTTTTTCAAAATACTAATTTATTATTTATTTCTAGTGTTCACTTCTGATGGGTCTGATTGTCAGAGGCCCGATTCTGGAAGCTCGGAGTACGGTTTTAGGCCCAAACTAGAGTTGCCTTGTCATAAAGCTATCCTTTCAGCCAGATCGCCGTTTTTCAGGAATTTGCTGCAAAGGAGATCGAAAAGTGGAGAGGAACATACTGAGAGGGCACTTCACATTCCCACAAGGATTGTTCTTGATGAAACTGTTATTCCCAAAAGGTTAGTCCCCTAAATACGACGCCTAAAAATGAATATTGAAGTACTACTTCAGCTGAAAAAATGATAAATGGACGGATATTTCAACATACACTGCATGATTTATAAGTGGGACAAATTTCAAAAGTTCATAGCACCCCTCTACAAAATGAAACAAATATCTGTGGACATTCATGTAATGATTTACATGACATTTATTTTGGTGAACACGGCGAAGCATAGGCAGAAGATTCAAATAACATATTGCTCACTTCAGATATAATTCATTATAGCCAAATCAAGTGTTGCCCAGCATATCTTTGAGACTAGTAATCCTGTCACTTGAGATAATTTCAGATTTCTTGAACATAATATAACAAATAATAGGGAATTGTATAGTTTGGAAAGTATGTATTTACATTATTTGCAATAGAGAATAGTTAATGAACCAAGAATATGGTACCTTCCCTGGCTCCATAAGTTTTCATCCACATTGACATAACATTCATGGAAACAAAACAGCATTCTCGCTGGTGATTTCTGGACATTCGAACTGTTCACGGACAGTTTGGAACGTCTAGCGGATATTGGCAGTGTTTGTGCTTACAAAACAATATATACCATTTTGAACAATTCATGAAGTTAGGACTGTATGTCACTACTTTCATTATCATATTATATTACAATCCAAACATTTGTGAGGTTAAGTACTGCCATTTTGAGGAATAATGATAAAAAAATAAAGAGTTTTCCAATAAGCCTGCCAGAACTTTGAAATGTAATAGCGGCAACACGCACGCAAAATATGTGTACAGTTCAACAGATGGTGCCACATGCCACACATCTCATGAAACCATTGCGTTATTGCACGAAAGATTTCCTGGACGCGTCATTTCGAGGAATGCTGACGTAAACTGGTCACCAAGATCTTATACCCCTACACCAATTTCTATTGGGTTATGTTAAATCTCTAGTCTACAGAAATAGACCCCGAACAATTCAAGACCTTGAACAACACAGTCGACGAACTCTGGAAAACATTCTACTTGATATGTGTCAAAAAGAAAATTGCTTATGAGGATTCACAATATGTTAATGAATTTCCTCATTAAACCTTCTGTTAGCCGAAACATTTTCAAAAACTCAAAAGGGTTTCGTTTGGGAAGTATAACCAAAACGTTATCTTGTAGGTCAGCATCCAGAATATCTTCATTTATTTGGTCCCATATCATTGCATTTGCCATGTCCATGTTCAAGCATAAAAATAAGTATTTTGCATCCAAAACAAAATGGAAATTTAAAAAAGCTATAACCTTCAACCACTGATGAGACTGATGAGAGAGCTGGCACACACCACGCCCCCCGAAAGGTTGAATGCCCAGGATCAAGTGCCGCCATATAACTAGCTTAGCACGTTGGCTACCATATGAGTCTCATGTGATGCACACTCTCATTTGCTCTACAAACCACCGAAAAAAATCGCACACTTCCTCTCTGTACCAAGTGAAGAATCAAACTCAAAACCTAGCCTTTCGCTACAAGATGTTGCTATATTGTATTTTGAAGGAGATGCCTTCATCTCGATAGAGTTTGCTGAAAGATCACCGGTGATTCACATTGTACATAATTGAACCATTTCATCATATGACTATAGGGTACTCCTTATATTTTGTTGTTTTTTCTTCGATTATAAGCGCCTTCATTCAAACCTTCATAAGAAAATAATGGACAATTAAGACGAAAAACGTATTTCGAGGAGTACGCAAAAATTCAAAGATGGCAGCAAAACATACAAAATTGGTTACCACCTTATACGCGGAATGCCCCGAGAAACCTTCATACTGTTTGGACTGTTTTCAAAAAAAAAACATTAGTATTTTCTTTGTACAATGATTATTGATAAGATTATTTTTTACTTATGAGTGTAACAATTTCAATAAAAAATTGACAAGAGAGTGAGCGGTGCGTCTTTTCATCAGAATAATCCAGTCAATTTCTATAGGCATTTTCCAGATCTATGTGTATCACTGGTGATACCCACTTCAACCCGATATTATTTGGTTCATACCTGTACCATACCCACAATCTAATTCCTTCGTTTATACACTAGGCTTTACAAGCATTCAAATAATATGTGTTCATTATCACTGGTGATACATAAAGTACAGAAGTGAACTATGAAAAAGCATCACTGGTGATACATATGGTACCCTGAGTCAGAATGTTGAAATCAGGTTTGGTAGTCAACGTGTTAGTTATATGATAGCTCCTCATCCCCTTGTCCATCCACCCCCACTAACTAACGAGTGGACTTCAACCTTATGCATTTGGCAATCTGCATATGTTTTATAAAACCCCTTACTTGGGTTCAGGCTTCCGACTTTTAAACCTTTTTGTCTAATGTGTGTTTCCTAGCCTGACTTTTGCGTGGTGGTTCCCTACCCTAATGGGAAGCAAATTTGAGTTTATGTCTTATTATTATTGGTTTACTTTTTTTATAGGGTATCAAAGGAGAGACTCTTCTGTTTATTTAGATGGTGATTATTATGCAACTTTCATTGATATTGATTTAATTTCGTTCGTTTATCTTATATTTGGTGAATTGGGCGCCTGTACTTTATTCTTCCGAAGCGCGGGTCTTGATTTAGTTGTCTATTAGTCAGGTCGTGCAGTAGCGGGTTTTCGTGGGTTTCCGTTCTTCCAAAAAATGTAGTCTCCGCGTGTTGTCTTATGTAGTTGTCTGTCTGGGTTTATGTTCAGGTCCCTATAGATAAATCTATTTGGGATATACCATGGGGCGTTTACTGCCATTCTTATTGAGACATTTAGAAATGCCTGTATTCGCTTTTTGTATGTTTCTGCGCATTGGCCCCATGCACTTGATGCATACAAAATTATTGGAAGTAGAATGGTTCTTATTAGGCGCAGCTTCAACTCTAGAGCCATGTTGCTTCTGCGACCTATCTGAGAGCTGACATATTTTCATTCAATTTAATGGCAGGGAGTCAATCAGAAGCGTTCCCGCTGTGGTTCTCTTAAAAATCTTGATAGATGCATTAGTAACTCCCTAGGGAGCGCTCCTCTTGTGTTATTCAGTTCAAGCATACGGTTTTCAGTTTCGGACAGTGGACACGCCCACTTTCTCTCGATTGTTCTATTCCCCGATTTTCAAGAATCGCGGCCCAGCTTGCTGCTTTAATCTCGCTTATGACAATGTCATTCGCGGAATTGTTAGGCAACAAGCTGTCGCAACAATCGCCGAATGTTTCCGGCATAATAGTATCACATCAAAATTCAAAAGATATAAACAACAAATTGATGATCAAGAACTTTATGATGAATATAAAATACAAAGAAATAAAGTAAATGCATTGATAAAAAAGACAAAGGCTCAAAATATAAATAAGAAATTTGAATCTTCTGAAGGTAACCATTATTGTATCAGAGGTACATCAACATTGAAAAATAGAAAGGAGATTAATTCATTAAAAATCAAAAATAAAATAATTACTGACGATCTGGAAATAGCCGATCATTTCTCGAGTATTGGTAATAATTTAGCCAATGAAATTAATACATATTATAACAACATTCCACAAGAAAAAAACATTCCAGAATACAATGATTCTACGATGATTCTGTATCCAACTGATGAAAATGAAGTTATTGAAATAATTCATACTCTGAAGAAAACATGTCCTGACTCTGAAGGTTTATCAACAAAAGATATATTTGAATTAAAAAATATTCTGGCTGAACCCTTGACAAAATTAATCAATAATTATTTTGTATTAGGTATTTTTCCATATGAATTGAAACATGCTTCACTAAGACCAATATTCAAAAGTGGGGATGCTGAAGATCCAGAAAATTACAGACCAATTGCTATTTTGAGCATATTTTCGAAAATATTTGAAAAAATTTTGAAGAAGCGTATTGTAAATTTCATAAACAAAAAATATAGTTTTGATAATAATCAGTTCGGATTCCAAGAAAATAGTGGTACACAAGCAGCAGTACTACAAGTAGTACAAACAATTCAAGAAGGACTTGATACGGGAAATTACGTTGTAGCTATTTTCATTGACCTTAAAAAGGCATTTGATACAGTTGACCATAAGAATCTATTAGAATACTTGGAATCGATGGGACTCAAGAGGCATTCTTAAAAATCTTTCAGAATCTTATCTTGCGAATAGGACAATCAGCACTAAATGTAATATGTCAGAGTCTAATGAATTTCCAATAAGTAAAGGTGTTCTGTTTTAGGGCCCATCTTGTATATATTATATATTCAAAATATTTCTAAAATTGGATTGTCAGGTAATTATACTATATATGCAGATGATACTTTACTTTTATATGAAAACAAAAACCCCATCATTCTAGAAAATATTATTAACGAAGATTTGAAAAAAATTGAAAAATGGCTTTATTCAAACATTTTATCAATTAATACCAATAAAACTGAATATATAATATTTCATCAAAAAAATAAACTGAATATTAGTCTCAATCTCCATATAAAAAATAAAGTATTGAAAAGAACTACACAAATGAAGTATCTTGGTATGTAGATTGATGAAAAATTTAAATGGGACAAGCATATAGAGGTTCTGATACAAAAAATATCTCCAATCATTGGAGCAAAGATGTCCCAAACTTGACATAAAAGTCATAAACATAGTACTTCATTCTCATATACTCAGTCGTATTACCTATATGATAAAAGTTTGGGGATCTCGTTCAAAAAATTATTTCCGTAAAATATCTGCACTTTATAAGAAAGCATTATATCGCCTCTCATTTGATATCCCAACAAATGATCTGTATGCGATAACAGAAAAATTTTCATTGGATGAATTACATAAAATAGATCCTCTTAAAGTTTCATATAATATAATAAACAATAATCTGAAATCCAATTTTGTTTTGATAAGAAACTCAGAAATTCATGGTCATCACACGAGACAATTAAACTTATTTCATCTTGATTCTGCTACTTCTATAATTGTCAAAAAAAATTACTTACGCTGCTCTAGCTGAATTTAATATATTACCACATAATATAAAAAATTGCACATATTTCAAAATTCAAAATTGAATTAAAAAAACACATGATTTCATTACGAAATGAATAGAATTGATACTTTGCCATCTACTGATTAGTCCCTGTGGCTATTTTTATGACTTGATCGATTTAGCATTTTTTGATTTTTTAATTTTTGTTGTTGTTGTTGTTGTCACCTTATATTATTTTATTATTGTTGTTTGTAATCAACTTCCTCATACCAGAATTTTATTTCTGACTGGAAGCTAGTTTTTCAATAAACAATAAACTTGTGGTATTACATACGAATCACAGATACGAATAAAGTACTTGTGAGAAAACACAATAATTGTCCTCAAAGGTACGCCAGAGTCCTGCTACACGCGATCTACCTCGACCAGGTGGACCTGTCTCTGATATCGCGCGGCGGGTGCGGCGGCGGTCTGGGGGAGGCGCAAGCGCTTGCGCACACCGGCCGCGCCCGCCCCTCGCCGCTAGAGGAGGCCATGGAGCTGTACCAGATCGGGCGCTTCCTCGAGCTGGATATTCTGGCGCAGGGCTGCGAGGACCTCGTCCTCGAGTGGCTGGCGTTGGAGACGCTGCCGGCGGTGCTGCAGTGGGCGAGACAGCCGCACGGCTCGGCCTGGGTGCATAGACAGGTAATTGAAGTAGCAGCAGTGTTGCCGTTTCAGAATTTCAATTTATACAAGAAGTCATTCCAAAATTGTACTAAATTCAAGTATATTGTACTAAATTTGATAAATTAACACTTCGAAATTCGTGATTCACACATTTGATGATAAATCTTATACATCGAGTTGCAAAAATTTTCAAAGTAAAAGGCAATGCTCAATGTACATATTATGTGAAGAGTGAAATTAATTTGTCTCTTGAAACATAAAAACAGTCACAATTCGAATGGTCCTCTTTTATCCTTATTATATCAATAACTTCTGATTGACAATATAAAAGAAGAAACTCGAGAACGTACAGTGCTGGGTCTGACGTTAGAGGCCAGCCTGCATTGATGGAGACAATGATGGAAATAAAGGATGGTGCGCGTACGACTCTGTCATTTTTACGTATTGAAAGCTTGAGAAAAATCACGACCGCCTACGTCACATCGAGCGATAAGTTTGATCTATTCCGCTAAATGGTGATGCTTCTTGCTGCTGCTGTGACGAGTGAAAATAAAATGGCAAATGGCATTTTGGGTACGCGAAACAAATGTAAAAGTTGGTTTATTCAACTCTAAATTCGAAAAATCTGCGGCAATTTGAAAATGGACAGATGTCATGATTGTGCAATGTTGCTATCTATCCGAAAACCGCTGAAACAAAAGCGCATCAGTAAGTACACCATCTACTTATTCCCATCATTATCGAGACATCAGAGGTGTTTCCAAATCTATGCGATCCAGTCTTTGATTTTGATTTGTTACCATTTTTGTTGATTTGTGATGAACTTCTCTGATGATATACCAGTTAATTTTGAAAGTAGATTACTAGAAATCTTAGTATATCACGGCCTTAAATTCAACTCATAATTAATTACAGATAAGAGGTGTAAGTTACTTCTGAAGTTTAGTTAAAAGAGCTTTATCATATTGAAAAGTGGCAGGAGTTTTCTTTGCCAACCGTTCGTAAATAAACCACCTACATACATCAATTATTGACTACAAGGTGTATTAATCATGCATGATTTTTTCATTTACGGGTGAAGGGAAATTTGCGGAAGTCTTCATTAATTTATTATGCCAATATGTCATTACCTACTGATTAATTCCATACATTGGAATGAATGAATGAGTAACAGCTGTGATTATGTTTTGAAAATAATTTTTTCATTAGGCACTACATTTTTTACGAGAAGAATTTCAACCTATTGCACAGTCGTCCGTTTTGCATCAACTCGATAAAATCCACTTGATAGAGGTTCTGAGAAGTCCCTTTTTGCAAGCTAGTGAGCTGGAGGTGTTGCATGCTGTACTTAAATGGGGGGAACATGAACTTGTACGAAGAATGGAGGATAGAGGTAGGCTTTCTCACACTCAAGTTTAGCCATGATTCTTTTTTTCATTGACAGAATTCACCTGAACATAAGATTTTCTCAATTAACAGCTTGCATTTCGTTATCCTGACCTTGAGATATTCAACGATGGCAGCATCATTCTCGGGTCAACGTAACAGAAGTGTCAAATTTAAATCACATGTTCTGATTTGCCTCTAGGAAAATTGTAAATAAATTTTTTGATACTATGCTTGATTCCTAATGGGTAATAAAGTTTTGAAAATTAGTATTCAAGAAAGAATTACAATGTCTGACATCATTTCAAGTGGAAAAACAAAGTTATTTGCATGCGACTGTATGTGACATGATCTCTTGAATACAAAATTCAACGATATGCTGGTTGCTTAAATCAAAAATTGAAAGTTTGGGTGAAACTGGAACTGATCCAATAATTTCGTTGGTGTCAATAACTACGAAATTTGATCATAAGTTTTTTAAATTTTTATATTTATTTTCAATCTTCTGGAATATCATCGAATTTTCAGAGCCCAATATCGTTAGTCACACTGCCCATTCGGTAGCCCGCAAGGGTGTCAAAAAGCGGGACCTGAGCGATGTGGAACTCCGAGAAATTCTCTCCGACCTGCTGCCTCTAGTCAGGATGGACCACGTCCTTCCGCCGAACAGCGATGTACTCAACCATGCCATTCGCAGAGGGCTGGTAAGTTGACAAGTTAACATTAAACGTGAAACACGAACAATGTTCGGTCGACTGTACGTGTAATGTTGGTGAAGATGAGAAAGCGAGAGCTTTCATACTGGCGACACAAAGAATCTCACTTGCGCTTCCATTCACACTTATTTCACCCAAAATTCACAAATGCACTCATAACACTTTGTTGTCCATGTTCTCGAGATTGTTTCAATGTTGTTCGGTTATACATAACTAATAATTTTATTACTTTTTGAAATTTTTCCAAACTGAGGTCTAAAAGTTCAATTCAAGTGACTGTACTTATGATGACCAGGATCTCCGGAAATACCATGCATGAGACATTGCATTAACCACATTTGCATTGCAGGTGAGTACTCCACCTAGTCACATGATCGGAGGAGACCGAGAAAACCTGCGCGTAAATGCCTGGATCCGAGGAGGGAAGAACAATGGACTATTTGTACAACCCAGACTGTTCATGCCTTACTATGATGAAGTGAAGGTATATAAAAGTGTAATCTGATTTATATTATTATTTATCCTTCATTCAACACTAGTCTTGAACATATCTGAATAAGCAATCTAGAACAATTGTATTACAATATTACTATGATTATCAAACATCACAGGAAGTAATCAAAGAAGATCTATAGATACCTACCTACACATACTTCATATCTTTGAACACAATTTGTCTATGCTTCCGACATTTTTTAAAGACGAATTCTAAAACATAAATTTGCATTCACATTTGGATATACTTCTTCTGAATGTATTTATTCAATGAAACTAAAAATCGATAACATACATAACTTGTATATTCGATATTTCTTTCGAAGTCATCATCGCAATCCTCAGAGAAAATACTACTAGTTTGCCCATTCAACCGGCTTTCTAGGTCCAATAATAACCAAGATAGCTATATTGCCGACTTGAGTTTGGATCTTTAATTCGATAAACTCCTTTCTCGATTCTCTGAGTTTGAAGTCATATCATTTGAATCCATAATGTGATAATGCCTTGAATTTTGCTGTATGTCCTATCTATGCCACCCTGTACATGTCGTTCATTAGGATAAATTCCAGAATAAAGCACACGAATTTAAGGCCGGGAAGAAGGGAGGTTGGGTTTATTGTTTGATTCATATTAGGAATCTATTAATGATATTATATAATTGTTCTACATACAATATTGACTAAGGATTCCTGAGGAGCCTCATCGAAAATATTATTTCATTTAATATAATTATATCAAACCCGTATTAAAAAAATAATACTGCCATCAATTGAGGAGGCTAGTTGGAAGAAGGAGCTTGCACGGATATTGTACGGATTATAAATATATCTGCTAACTTCAATTTATTCATTCATTATAATAATAATAATATAAGCGATCCGAAGGAACGACCCTGTATTTCATGTTCGTTGGGTGTTGATTCACTATGGGTTATGTAAGGAATAACGGCTGGAGCGAATGAGCTGGTATGGAATTTGGGATGATGAGAGGCGAGTCAGTATGCTCAGCGCGTTCAGTCGGTGATAAACTGTAATACCTATTTTTGCTATTCAATATACTTGTTCATTCACGTTTTCGGGTTTTTCTGAGTGTTAGTCCAATTTAGCTGTTTATAATAATAATACAAATGTTTATTGAAGTATCAAATAACAAAAAACAAAGTGTTTAAATATCATTGTACTTCAAGGCAGATAGTCGGCAAGCCATTTTCCATATTTGCCTTGGGTGATACAATTACTTTACCTACATGAAGTGAGCATTACATGAAAATAATGAAAATACATGACAATGAATAATAAGATTAACCATTATAATAAAAATAACAAGTTGGAGAGAAAACTATAATTATATAGTGCATATTATTGGTTCATTGATAGTATATGGTGTTTGAATGATTGTTTGAACATTTTCATATTTATAGTACCACTGAATATATTTGCATACATATTTATCATCGTAGGTGCAATATATTCAAAGCAACCTTGGAAATTGGATGAAAGATGTTGGGTATAGTAAATGAATAAGCATTTCTAACATTTGCTGTATGAATGGTAGATCTTCTGATGAGTTATTCATGCAAGTACTTGGGAGTCTCAGTAGACACCATATGAACAATTGATGCATATAAACATGTGATCCGTCTCTCAATTTTGAGTTTTTTCATTTCATATTGAAATGGTGTTATGTGATCGCACCTATTGATCTTTGTATTTGAAAAGCGTAAACAGTTATTTTGCATTACTTGCAGTCTATTCTATAAGAAAATAATGATTATGATGATGAAGTAATTGATGCAAACTGTTCTGGGGAGATCATGTAAGATACCTATTAGTTGCTTTCTGATGTGTGGTAGTTATCCATACGATTATATTTCAAAACTTGATGAGGTTGGGATTGTTCTCATGGACATGAAATCCAGGAAAATCTATAAATGCCAACTTTATTTCATCGTCTTACGGTACTGATTGCGGAACGTTGAGAGATGCGTTATGGTATGTATAAATCAGGACTGATATTTCAAAGGTGCTGGTGGAGGACCAGCTGGTCCAGGAGGTGGAGATAATGCGCCTGCGCCGGGCTCGATACATGCAAGACATTCCAGACACCCTGTACATGGTGGAGGAGAAGCCCCGGCCGCACGGGCCTGCCGGGGTCGACGTTCTAGCGTCCGTGTTGCCAGTGCCCGATCCGGCTGTGATGAGTGCCATGCTCAAACGGTGAGTGCAGCGTTGTTCCTAGGGTAATTCTGTACCGTCAAATAGTGTAGAATTGTACAATTTTTCGAGAAATTGTACAGTCGCCATCTATTTTACTAGTTTAGAACATTTTATTTGACATGACATGTGAATCAGAAGTGTCTAAATCTTTCGAAGGATTAAAATCACCGAATGCGCATGCGCCTATAATGTATCTCGTGACACGATGTGACCAATCTGACAATGGGGTTTGTTGACTTTAGACCGTGAGAAACTCGTCTGAGGTGAGAAAGAAAACGCAAGAAATGCGAAACCATACTCTCATGGATTGACGGATCAATGAACACTCCACATATTGTGTGGAATCAGAATACATCAATATTGTCGAATTGTACAGTTTTGTACAGATTTTTTTCGATTGTATCGCCTTGGTACAGTTGAGCAGGCAAATGTACAGCTTTTTGTACAATTGTACACCCTGGAACAACACTGGGTGAGTGTTCGTCGATCGATCGTTAAGAAATCGTGATGGAATGAACTGATTGTAAGATGATGAATCGAAAACTAAACAGTCGATAGCCGGAAAACCATCAATAACAACAAAAAAGGCAAATTACGTTTCTTACCAGGATTATTAATTGTTCGTCTACAACGAAACTTCGCGGCGCCACCACGTTCATCTTTGAATATCTCATTTTTTATTTTGTTATGTACGGCACAATAACTAATAATCACTACAATAACTAATAATTACAATTATTAGTAATGAATGACAATTATGTTGTTATGGATGTATTATTATTAAAGGTTGTTCTATGTATTTTTGTCCTTGTTTAATGAGATGATTCATTCCAAAAATGCTTTTGCATCATCGATATGACAGCGGTTCCACAGAGATCCTTAGAATGTCATCTTTTCGGAAGAAGAAATAACCAAAATAAATCACTCTTCTTCACTGGTTACTTTAAGCATCTCACAATGATACAATTTTGAACTGAATATCATGAATATCTGTACTGAAACGTAAATCGAAATAGAATTTGATTAAAAACTACTAATAAGTCACGAATAAATTATATGCAATGCAGTTTTTCAATATTACAAATTCACAAGTAGAATTCAGTTGTATCCTCGTTGTAAATTTCGAACTGAATATCATGAATATCTGTACTGAAACGTAAATTGAAATAGAATTTGATTAAAAACTACTAATAAGTCACGAATAAATTATATGCAATGCAGTTTTTCAATATTACAAATTCACAAGTAGAATTCAGTTGTATCCTCTTTGTAAATCAAATTGTTGACCATCGGATGTTTATCAAAAGGAAACAGAGATCCTTAGAATGTCATCTTTTCAGAAAGAAAGAAAAAAATAACGAAAATAAATCACTCTTCTTCACTGGTTACTTCAAGCATCTCACAATGATACAATTTTGAACTGAATATCATGAATATCTGTACTGAAACGTAAATCGAAATAGAATTTGATTAAAAACTACTAATAAGTCACGAATCAATTATATGCAATGCAGTTTTTCAATATTACAAATTCACAAGTAGAACTCAGTTGTATCCTCGTTGAAAATCAAATTGTTGACAAAAGGGAACAAAAGCTGCGCCAATCGCCGAGCTGCCAGCGCGCCCTCAACATGCCCCTATCCTCGCGACTCGAGATCAACCGCCAGATCCGCTTACGAGTAGTTCGCGAGTTCAATCTGCCCGACCCGGTGGCCGACATGCTCGAGAACAGCCACTGCCTGCCCGACCCGAGCGACGACCTGCCCCAGACGTCGCCCGGCAGGCCGCCCAAGGGCAAGGGCAAGAGCGTGGGGTTCGTTAGGCAGGGCTACGCACAGCGGCAGGAGCTGCCCGCCGTGGTGCCGGAGGGCGAGTTCCGGTTCGCGGCGGAGCCCGAGAGCAGCTCGTGCAGCGACGGGCACTTGTCGGATATTATGCCGGACGTGGCGATGGCGACGGCGACCATAGGCCAAATGCAGTTGCAGGAACAACAGGTATTTTTGTGTTACATGAAATGTTTATTGGCTAATATTCAATATACAGGGTGGTTTAGTAGTAGTAGTAGTAGTAGTGGCACTTGATATCTCCAAAGCATTCGATCGAGTATAGCACCACGGACTCCTCGCCAAGCTTCCATCTTATGGCTTGCCTCCCCAGCTATGTTCTCTGCTAGCTAGTTTTCTCTCGAACAGGTCTCTCCATGTAGTGGTCGACGGAGTTTCATCTGATTCTCTTACCATAAATGCTGGTGTTTCGCAAGGATCAATTCTAGCACCAACACCATTTCTACTCTATATCAACGATTTGTTGGAAGCAACTCCATGTCCAGTGCGCAGCTTCGCGGATGATAGTACCCTCCATACCGCCTTCTCTTCCAGGGCTCCAATACCAGCCAGGCAAATCAGAAACGAACGGGGAAGAAATGTTGACAACATAAATATGGACTTGGCAACAATTCTCGAGTGGGGATCCAATAACTTGGTAGATTTCAATGCAAACAAAACACAAGCATGCCTTTTCTCTAGAAAAGCCAATCTCACTGTGCCAAACATAAGCATGTCAGGCGTAACCATACCTTTGAAGACATCCATTTCGATGCTTGGTATTACTATCAGCAATAAGTTTTCTTGGTAAAATCACGTGAGATCAATTGCTAAAAGTGCATCTCAAGAACTTGGTTTTCTGTTTCGAGCCAGGAGCTATTTCACTTCCCGTCAGCTGCTTATGATTTATAAGGCACAGATCCGACCTGTCCTGGGATACTGTTCCCATATGTGGAGTGCGGCACCCAAACATACCCTGAAACTGTTGGATTCTGTCCAAAAAAGGGCAATTCGTCTGGTGGGTGATGCCTCACTCACAAACTCACTCACTTCTCTGGAACACCGTAGAAAAGTTGGTGATCTGGCCCAATTTTATAGATATTTTCATGGACGATGCTCTTCTGAAATATCAACAATTGTACCTCCCTTGGCAGTCCCCGGGAGATTAACCCGTCGAGTCGAGGCTTCGTAGTCACTTTGGAGACCTGCAGAACATCTCTTTCCAAAGACTCGTTCATCCAACGAACAGTGAGGCTCTGGAATATATCGCCAAGGGAGGTGTTCCCCGAGGCATATAACCTCCAGAAATTTAAGAAAAACACCAATTCCTACCTTATTTCCCTTGGTTCTCACGATGTTCTCTGAACATTACAGGATAACCCTTTTCGTGGGAACCAGAACATAAAAAAAAGTAGTAGGTGGGGAGGCTGTAGCCAAGCAAGTAGGCCCCGATGGGCCCTTTTTGCTAACCCCTGCTCTCCACATATCTACGCTTCCTTCACCTAGATTTCCTTCACGAATCTCCCTGACCTTCTGATGAAAGCCAGTATGTCCGTCCACTCTAATATAATCAAGTCCTCCTGTTGGAGTTTGTCTACTCCAAAGATTTCAAATCTCAGCCTTCCGTACGCCTCGAACTCGCCAAGGAAATGGAGTGACGTTTCCTCGTCTTCCCGCATCTGCGGCAAGTGGGGTTGTCCTTTAATCCCATAAGTGATAGGTGTCTGCCTAGCCTGTTGTGTCCTGTGAGTACTCCTATGAGGAGGCGGAGTATTTGGCGGTCTCTGCCAAGCGGCCACTCCTTCCTTGATTTGCTTGGACCGCCATGAAATCCTTGGCTTGCCTGCAACCTGTGATATTTCTCCAGTATTCTCCTAGTGCCTTGTCCGCCCATTCATCGAGGGCTGACGTAATTTGGCTCCTTGCTATACCTAGTACAGGCTCCGGTCACAGAAACGGCTCCGCGGATCCGGCCCTAGCAAGTTCGTCTGCTGTTTCGTTTCCGGGCACCCCACTGTGACCCGGGACCCATACCAGTTCAACTTCCTTTGATTCTGCTAATATCTCAAGGGCATTTCCACATTCCTGTACCAATGCTGAGCTCGGCCTGGGATGATAGATAGCCTTGAGCGCTGCCTGACTGTCCGAACAGATGCTCTGGTTCCTCTTCCACCTCTTGTCTCTCTGCTACGACCAGGATGGCGAACACCTTAGCTTGGAAAACTGTGGTGTATTTTCCTAGAGCGTAGCTTTCTCGTATGTTTTCCCCTTCGAGATAGATTCCTGCACCCGAGGCCTGTTTGTCAGTCAGACGAGATCCGTCTGTATAACATACTAAGCTTCCTGGGCGAAACTCTACTGTATTGTTTCTCTATTCATCTCTGCTCGGAATAGTGAGTTTGAACTTCCTATTCCATCTCAGCCTGTCCTGCACTTTATTCACTATGAGAGTGAAGATAGGAATCTCTCGCTTCACCCACTCTGCTATTTTTGCATGTCCTGTTATTGTTCCTCCACTTGCCCAGTCATTAGGTGGGCCGCCATCGCCTCCTTCTTCATCCAGATTTGAAGCGGTAGCCCCAGCATTACTTCTAATGCTGCCGTTGGCGTCGTCCTCATTGAGCCTGTTATTGCTAGGCATGCCATCCTCTGGACCTTACTTAGGTCCTGACCTATCATAATGGTTTCTGCGCCAGGCCACCACACTGCCGACCCATAATGGATCTTTGGTCTTACGACTGCTGTGTACAGCCAGCGTATAATCTCGGGGCTGATGCCCCAAGTTTTTTCTATGACTCCTCAGTTGCCATAAGATAGCCACCGACTTTTGCACAATCCTATCCGCATGCGGTCTCCATGAAAGTCTGGAGTCCAGAACCACCCCTAGGTATTTGACCTGTTGGACCAGGGTTCAAGAAAAGGTGGCTCCGTTGCTAGGATAGGTAGAAAACTGCAAAATGGGTTGGGTTTGCTCAGTATACAATTTTTGTAACTGCATCCATATTCAAGAAACAAGGTGTTACACAATTTTTATACACATTTTTTGCGATTATGTCCAAACTGCTGGCAATATTGTTATCAAATTTTATAATCATAATGAATGAAGAAGCGAAAATCAAGATCCCAAATTCCTCACAAAATGATATTCAGCATTGAATCCTGAAACTTTTTAATGATTTGAACAAGTTCATATCTCCATTACCTTATATAATCGATTATCATTCCAAATAAGAATTAACGTTGAAGGTTATGAACTTGTTTATCACCAATTGTTGTAAACGGACTCTCTCACATCATCCAGAATTGAGCTAGAGTATTGAGCATGGTTTACCGGACACACTGAATATTATTGGTATTAGATTCATTAACTGTTTTTCTGCAATGTGAACACTGGATGATATTATTAATTGGAAAAAAAATGATTTCTTGAATAAGGGCTTGACTGACTGATTGCAGGAAATGGAGCTGGATTTGGGGGACGGTAACACAAGGATTCACAGTTCGCTAGGGACTCAGGCAATGTCGGGATCTGTTCACCGCCCGCTTTCATATCGGCGATATCAACCTTCTACGTACCCTCATTTGAGGTCTGATTCTCAAACTTATAATCCACCAATGCCGAGGTTTCTCTAGTTTTAAGTCATATTTTGATTCCGCTTGTGTGTTATGTATATAAAGCGTTTTATCCCTAAGAGATATTTTTATGATAATACTGTAGGAAATTGACAAATGTTCATTTTGGGGTGGCTTATTTTATGACAGACAGTTTTTTTACATAAAAGTGCATTGGAAATCGTTATTATTTGGATGAATGGGGAATTATTTGATATCATATAATTTCTTCCTCTTTCTAGGTTTTTTTTCTATCTTCAACAAACAAATGTATTGAGGAGCCATGGAATAATTGTAGTTGTGACTTCAAGATGTCACTATTGGTACAAATTGAATTGTAGCTACCTCAAAATATATATGGACAGTGATATTTTTAATCAAAAAATTCCGAAATGTTATCGGAATTGTAATATTTAATTTTTTTTTAGAATAATAAGTTTTCAACAGTTGCAAAATAATTAGCATCTTTTCTATTTCAATCGCTTTTTTGGGACTATCTTAAACAATAAATCTATTCCTGGAATGTAAAGAGGGTAATTTTGATTTGTAAGAATCATGAATAGAAAACCTGATTCTTGCTTTCAACACACGGACAGCATAGAATATACATAAATCATACGTTTTTTGGAAAATCTGAGAAGATTCATTGGTACAACAACAAATTCATTCTATTTTGGAATATCACTCCTGGCACTTCTTTCTTTCAGTAAAACAAATTGTTAGAATATTGAATTTTCATAAATTTTTGAGTTGTTGATTGGAAGAATAAAACTTTGAAAATTGAAGAAATTATCTGTAGAATATCAAAAGTGATTTTTTTAAAGTTCCGTTTTCGTTAAAGTGAAAGATATTACTGGATTATTATGTGGCAAATTTTTCTCAATAAACCTTCAAATTTGTCAGCCCCAGTTGAATGTTTTGTGATTTTTTTGAGAATTTGATAGAAATTTCTCATTAGGGTTATTTTCAGTAATAATGTACAACTGTGATTTTCTGTGAAAAGACCGTTTATAGAATTTAATTTATTTATTTGAATGATGAAATGATGAATGAGCATTGAGTGTAACTGGTTATGTATTATGTATCAATGTACCTGTGAGTGTATTTGTTCTTAGATGTTGCTGTGTAGCTGTTACTTGTAAATACTTTGACTCGTGCGGAACGGATAAAATGCAATGTGTACTTGATATTTTCTACAGCTTTGAGTTTCGAAATCGTTATTTTATGATTTTGATATCCCTGAAAAAAATCATGTCCATTTATTTTGTAGCATTGTTAAAAATATCGTCAGTGATTAGCCAGATTGACTTGTATATTGTACTGAGATATTCATATGATGTAGTACAGAAAGTGGAAATATTCAGATGTGTAGTTATTCGACGGAAAAAATGATTTACCGCTATTTTCTATTGGTTACGTTGGAGATAACGGAAGACCGGTTATCTTGAACTCTCTGGTATTCTATGAAAATGACAGAGAAACATGTACTACTTATAATCTGGAGTCTCCGACAGGTGAAATGTGGATTTTATGACATCTGACATCTTTGGACAATATCTATGTTTGAAATGGAAGAAATCTGGGATTGGCTGAAAATCATCATTACATCAAGATGGTCAGAGCTGGTAAGTGATCATTTTTTTGGCACCAAATATTTCATGATGCCTGTGTGCAAGAGTCCTTTCATGCATTTCAGACACACAAAAGTGTTCTAAAAGACCTACCTTACTACCTATCTACTGATTCTTTCTCATGGAAATATGTTCTGAAGGCTTTATTTTTTTGAATATCAATAGTACTGATGGAATTCTAACGAAACTATTCATTTTTGTTTGTCGTTCATTAGCTAAATAAAAATCTCGATAATAATTTGAGACCTATAATTGAATACTTACTACACTATGTAAAAAATGAGTAAAGGGAAAGTCGCTATGCCTGACCTGACTATGCCACAAAGAATGAAAAACTTCCAAATCATAATTACAAAATTTTCAATAAATTGAACAACAATGATAGATAATGGGAGAAAAACAACAACTTTTCCTGACTGATGCCACACAGAGCATTGAATTCTTATAAATGAATACAAATGATTGCAAAAGGAAAGAAACACTTGCAATCAGTATTCCTGTATATGAACATTTACATTGGATATGTAGCGAGGGCAGTAGTTGTTTTTCTCGGTAATCTACCTTGTTCTATTCATTGAACATTTTGTAGAAAATTGCTGATAATGGATATCGTCCTAGTAGACAATTGTTATTTTTGTGTACTCATTTTCTGCCTTTGTCATATTTGGGAAAGTATTCGCTATTCAAATTTGTCTAAAGACGGCATTTATATCATGTAGGTATATCTAGTTATTCGTCGTGAACGTTTATTTTTGATTCATATCTTGCTTTGAAAAAATTTAAAGGTAATGAATGCAGCTATTTTATATCTCGTTCACATAACATTTTCACATTTGCTTATCACAAACAGAATTTTGTGTTCACAAAATACGAAAACTTTCATTAATAACTTTACTTTTCCAAAGCACGAGATTCTGGTTGAATATCTTCTTTTCTTTCGGGAAAAGTGGGCAGTTGCAATTTACAAATTTATCATATTTTTTCAATTTAAATGATTTTGTATAGTCCGTTTTATAATTTATTCATGCTGTTGTAATTTTTCTGTTATTTATTAGCAATTTTGATTTCCAATCGATTTTTTTTTCTCTTGTAAACAACGAATGCAGTTTGAGTTATTTTTATCAGAATGTTGAAACATTTCTCTCTCGGATGTAGAAATGAATGTATTTTCTGTTGTTGGAAAAATTGTTATGAACTGATTTTTATGTAGTATAGAAAAATTATGAGTTGAAATTGTGTATATGTTATGGTTAACTCGTAAGTCAGTTATATATATAAACAAAATTACGTATTAGCTATAACATACATAGTATCACGTTTGTACATAACATTCTTCACTGTATTATTGATCAAAATTTATCTTCTCTTGAATAATTTGTATACAGAATATTTAATTTCATGTATCCATATGTATTTAAACAGTTTAATCAAAAACTATGCAAGATTTCAATTTTCTATCACTTCTAATGTTTCTATGATAGCCCAAAATTCCACTATTTTTTATAATAACCCAAATTTCGTCTTTTGCAAATATGCAGCCATTAAAAATTCATCAATTTTCACACAAAACCTGTTCAAGAAATGTTACTAAATATTTATTCATCTCGAGACATGAGCGAGACACCCAAGTGACAGAATTCAAATTTCTCATTACAATTCTATAAGAGACATACAACATCAATTTTTTGAATTTATCTTATAAATAACAACTGTTCCAATAGGTATATTTTCAATCACAATAGTAAATTGTTTCTTCTATTGTGCAATATATTGAATTATTCTTAATCAGTATTGAGAATGTATTGATATTTCACCCAGATTTATTCATTGATCATTGAACTATGGCTTTCCTAATTTATTTTAAAATGTACATATATATAAAAAAATTAAAAAAACTTATATTACGAAATGAATTACATAGTATCATTTCTATCCTCTATTGTTTTTGCATAGGAATGGGATCAACGTTTATTAATCAAACTTATGTGAAGGGTAATTATTATTCATTTATTGACAACGTTCAAACATCCACTTGTAAGAAGTAAATAATATCAAAGATTACAATATAAATCTATCACAGAATTATTTGATCATCGGGTTTCAGTTTAGTTAACAAAGTTTATAAAAAAAGAGATCATTAACATGTCACCACGAAGGTTCTACAACCATTGAAAATAAGTTAGAATACTAAGAGTATAAATCATTGTGAATTTGGATATACTACGGGGTCATTTGATAAAAAGGAAAATTGTCTGCTCATGAATATTAAATTGATCATTCTCGAATGCTGAGCTTAATTTTTTTTCAATTCGAAATAAAAAATCTCATCAGTTTGAGTGGCTTTATCCACAAACGTTTTGGTACATTCAGACCTAATTTCTCTTTCGATGTCAATGTGGATTTCTCTCGTTCTCTCTATTGAATGCATTCTACTCAAATATGTTGAAGGCAGTTCTCTAATGGTTCTTCGACATTTGATTTCAGTGAGCTTATACCGTTTGACATTTGGCCCTTCTGGACAGTCATAGTCGGAATAATGCCGTTTCAGGGAAGACGGTGGATTTTGTACTGCTATTCCATCAACACTTGAGAAGCCATTCAAGGCATTGGTCACATTTTTAACAATCCGACTCACAGATGACCAAAGTCTGCCATGTAGTGAGTTATCAGCAGAGCTTGAACTATAACAAAGCTCTGTACTCGTATCTTCTGTTGTGTCTTTGAAACTCTCTCTGGTTTCGCTGGAAATAATCCTTGTCTGCTGCTGATCATTGCCTATGATGGATTCTGCGATATCCACCTGAGACTTTGAGGTGGATGGTAACGATCCTTCGCTTCTGAATATGTCTCTACGGTTGGGAGCTGATTTAACTGGTATGATTGAGCTGTTTGGCGTTGAAGATATCTGTACAGCTCCGTGAAACTTGATGCATATTTCCTCCTTTATTTTCACTGGAGTAGGTATTACAACATTCACCTGCTTTTTTTTGTAGTTGGGAAGCATTGGAGTGGCAAACTGATTTGAGTCTGGTGTAGCTGATGCCTCCCATAATGGACTATTAGTTTCTCCCATAAGCAAACCTGATTTGTTGATTGCGCTGGTCCAGATCGTATCTTCATCACCGATTGATTTATCCTCATGGCCTTCTGAATGTTCTTGTTCGTGAGTGTCTCTGCTGGTTTGTGGGGGTTCTATGACATGAATTATTGGCAGGTCCGGATTTTCTTTAGACAATTCTTTTTGGTCGGTGTCGAATTGTGACGACTGCTCTTCTTTTGCACTGTAGAAATTTCCTGGGCTGTATTCTAGGAAGAAAAAATTATTAGTTTCTTCTGAACAATGCGTCATTTCGAAAAAAACTTATACTGTTTCTGCGGTCGAGTACCATTGAAATTAGGATAAGGCGACATAATTAAATAATTCAAATGCGTTTACCTGAAACAATACTGCACGTTCCGCCACAGGAATTTATATTATTTTCTGAAAAAAAAAAGAAAAAGAAAATATCGTTTTTTCACTCGTTGAATATATGGTGTTTCCGAAATTGGAGCGATGAATGGAATTGGTAATAGACTAAATAACAAGAACAAAACAAAATTGAAGAAACCCTTTGTTAAAATGAAGGAAGTTATAGGATCTCAAAGTTTTTCTGACATGTATGTCATTGATCAGAAATTGATCGGGCGAACCCAAGTGTTTGCTTTCCATGCTCTGCTGGAGCAGTGGAAGTAATATAATTACTTTCTAAATGTTGCTGGACGTTCAATATTATATTTGTTTAAATTTCATTTCATTTTCAAATAATTATGTCTTATACAACCCATTTTATTTATCGCAGTGGGTAGTTGAATTATGTGACCAAAACATTTTTTAAATTGTCATTTAATTTTAAAATAATTGGAAAAAGACTGTTTTTTATTATTTTCCATTCAATTTCTTATTCCCATCATCCGACAGGATCGGATCCAGGCGATGTTTGATGGAGGGGGGACACAGGAGACAACGGCTCATAAAAGTATAGCGAAAAAGAAAGGAATTTTCATTGGTGCCTTCTGAAATAAATATATTTCTTTCAGACAGATTAACATAAAATAATATTTAGTTATTCAAGTTGAAAATAGTTGAAATAAAAAATAAATGATAGATATTTTCATGTAATTTTTAGATGCATCATTACACGTGGCAGTAAATTGCAATACAATAAACAATAATGTTTCTCTCAGAATTATTGTTATTCTACAGGGTCTCAAAATTATCGTTAGCATCGTGGTGACCGTTGAAATATTTGATTGATTTGCCGCTTTCCTTTTATGAAGATCGAACAACATATTTGGTCGCCTCAGGCTATATTCCGAATTCAACTGATAGTACTGAATCTTCTGATTTTTCATTAACCAAAAAAACTCACTGAAAGTGACAGATATTTCGACTCAACATTCTCTGTGGCTAATTTAATATGAACTGTCATTTTTTTGATCGCTTGGAGCGCACGAAAGGAAATCCCTATAATGTTCAAAGAACATCGTGCGTTCCGCCTAGGGAGGATAGGGACAGGAGGTAGGTATTGGATTTTTTTTGAACTTCTGGAGATTATATGTTGTTGGGAATACTTCCTCAGGCAATGAATTCCAGAGCCTAGCCGTTCTATGGATGAAGCAGTTTTGATAAAGTGCTGTTCGACATCTTTCGAGGTTGACAACGAAAGGATGTGCTGACTGGGCTTGTCTTTGTCTGACTGGTATTGCTAGTGAAGAGATGATAGCAGAGATTTCCGAAGAACATTTCCCGTGAAAGTATCGACAGAAAAGTGAAAGGTCACCGACCTTTCTACGGTGTTCCAATGATGTCAAAGAGTGAGTGAGTGTGGCGTCACCCACCAGAAACGAATGGCTCTTCTCTGGATGGAATCTAAGAGCATCAGCGTATGTTTCGGTGCTGAACCCCATATGTGGGAACAGTATTCTAGAACAGGCCGTATCTGCGCTTTGTAGATCATGAGAAGCTGTTGAGGTGTGAAGTAGCTTTTCGCACGGAACAGGAATCCGAGTTTTTGTGAAGCAGCTTTTGCTAAAGTAGAAAACATAATAATAAAAGTGTGTTGATAAATACACAATTAACATAGAAAATATTAGCATATGTTGTGGTATTTATCAACACACTTCTATTATTTTATTTTCTACTCATTCTTTTTAGTTTTTTTTAGTGTTCTTATATTTTTTGTAAGTACCCAATTTTGACGGAAGAATCATAATGTCCGACCTCGTTAGCACCCCCAGAATACCAACTTTGAATAATAGAATCGGATCATATAACAAATTTCGTCCGCCATATTGGATCCGCCATCTTGAATTTACCGATTTCGACGAATGAATCATAATCCCTGATCCCGAAATAACCCTCATCAGATACCAATTTTGAATAGAATCGGATCATAATTACGAAACTCTGCCGCCATTTTGTTTTTTGTCCAGCAAAAATTTCATGGTGCATTATTGCCACCCAAACTATATGTACACCTGCCAAATTTCCAATCAATCGGTCCGTTAAAAGTGGGTCAAAATTGTGTCCAAAGTAGTCGGTAACATACATACAGGTAAAGCTAATAATAAAAGGGTGTTAAAAAACAGATCCTCATTAAAAGAAATTAGTTGGTGCGATTGGTGCGATGATTAATAAATTAGATAACAGTCGGTCGGCAAAACTGGCATATTTATGAGAAATTTATGAAAAGTTTCATTATTTTTGTTCTAGAGGTAATTCCTGAAATTTTAATATGAATTAAAATTCGAAAAATCCACTTGAATTTTGAACAGGTACATATACATACCTATTTCAAAAATCATCAATGATAATTTTGGAACATCACCAAAATGAAAATACTTATTATTATTACCGATTTCAACAGACATCCCTGCTATATATATGTATATCATGGATATACACAGTGTAAAAGACGACAACAGGCATAATTATTCTACTCACCATTTGTTGACATATTTATTCTTTGTTTATACTGGCTCTGACTGTATGGTGTGTCCGTGTGCTCAGTTGTTTCACCAAACGTCACTCGTCTTTTTTTCAACGACCCTGTATTATTTTCTTGTTGACTTTTTTTGACGACGTCGTTATCAATACTTTCCACTGGGGTAACGATTACTTGCTGAATTTTCTCCAATAGATGGTTATCTTCTTTTTGCATTGGTGTGCTAGTAGCCAGATTAGAGATTACTTTGAGATTCTTATTGGATTGTCCTCTTCCATGAAGACAATATAATAAAGGTGGCGAATCATAAGATTGTTCTGCAAATGTTGAGTGTCCGGGTGTGTATGGACTATTTTCTAAATCGCCGTTGATTCGAGTTCCAAGTGGACATTTACTATGTTGGAATAGTTCGTCAACTGATCCGAACAATCTTTTGCAAACTAGGCAATGCAGCGGCCAGTGTACGGTTTTAATATGATCAATGAGACTAGCTGAGGTTGAAAACAAAACTGTTTTTCCATAAATGCAAATGTCACAATCGGGATGTATGCGGTGAACTTCTTTCTCGTGCTTTTCACGACACTGTTTGCAGCAAAACACTTTTTTACACAAACGACAATTATTCTGGAAATCAAAACATACTTATATGAAAGACCATTCGATCTTTGATTCACAGCACAGATAAGTATATTATGTTTTACTTACTTCTACAAAATCTTTCATTATCAAATTTTCTAGTTTACATAACTTAATAATAAATAATAACAATCATAATATAAGTAACAAATATAAACTGCACTGGAAGAAATAATAACGAATACTAACTAACACTTCGGAACAAATATCATTTTACAAAGTAATTAATAAATATTTAAATTTTTAGAACTTATCTAGACTACATTTCACCGCAACATTTTCTGTGCAAATGTTACAAATCGAACTAATTGAAATGAACGTTGCCGTTGCTCTATTAATGAAGTTTGATATGAACAATATATGATGTAGGTGCCTGAATATGAGAAAACAAAACCCAGCATTGATGTGTAAACACGATATCAAAGATCATCAACTATTTTTTTTTTAATCGGAATATATAGTGATCGATATTATATATCATTATTATTTGGTATATTATTTTAATATTTGAAACGATCTTTAACCATAGGCATATATATAGGAACTATTATATATCATATACTGTCGGCCCTGACAAAAAATATAAACCCTGTGAGGAGGCATCTTCTAGTGCAGACAAGTATGGCCCCTTCAAATGTGTCCTGGATCCGCCCATGCTTCACGTCAATGTTAGTGCCGAGAGCATCAAATTTACAGATCCTTTGTATATAGGATATAGCTATTTGATTATATAGTATTCCTAGGATCTGAATAGCCATGATACTATCATATGAATTCAGTAGCTGTTAAGGACTTGTAAATTTTGTTCATATTAATTCGTGATCTTGTATTGATAATGTAAGGATAATGTATTCACGAATGAATTCTCCTGCTACACCCCTGCAAAAAAAATATTTGCCAAATGTGATCTGCAAACAGTGCAAGCAAACTGCAAGTTTGGCAACCCGGCTAAAAATTAGCCATGATTGTTTTGAAAACATCTCTACCCGGTGACATTTTTTGCCATTTTTTTTTTGCAAAACTTGGAATCAATGAATGAATGGTGACAAAAACGAGGTGTTATTGAAATACTGGCAATCAAAATAATTCATCAACAATGAGTGGCGCTGTATACGGTGGAGGTGAGAGAAGTGAAGTGTGAAAGTATTTTACAATATTATTCCTTAACCTAACATTTCAGATGAAGTTGGAGCTTTGGTTTTCGATATCGGCCATAACACAGTTAGGGCTGGATATGCAGGTGAAGACAGTCCGAAGGTTGATGTCCCTTCTACTATTGGAGTTTGGTTAGATCCTGAAGATGATGTTTCACAGACACATTATAATATTGGCCTGCTGGCCATTCATTTTTGGAAACCAGGTAGGAATATAGGTGAATTCATAATTTAACAAGTGCATCGCATATGTAGTCTGGTGGAGTGATTGAATCAAAGAGGGGTATTCACCTTATGTACTTTGTAGTCTTTATAACAATCCTGACCCTATCCATAAATTATTATTTATTATAGAAATGGAACTCACATCATTTTTGAAAGAAGGAATGGTTGACAACTGGGACATGTTTGAAAACTTCTTAGATTATATTTACAATCATGCCTTGAGGGCTATACCAAAAGACCACCCTATACTATTAACTGAGCCACCATGGATTACATCACCAAAACGTGAAGAAATTACTGAACTTATGTTTGAGAAATATGGAGTTCCTGCAGTGTATCTAGCTAAAAATGCTAGTTTAGCAGCTTTTGCTAATGGTCGTCCTACATGTCTGGTTGTTGATAGTGGGGCTACACATACATCTGCTGTCCCTGTACATGATGGGTTGGTATCTGCCTGTATTTTTTCATCCTTAGTTCCAATATCCTTATTTTTTTCTCAGTTATGTTTTGACACAAGCAGTGGTGAAATCACCTGTTGGTGGAGATTACTTGAGTACACAATGTAGAACACATCTAACAGAAAAAGGCATAGACTTAGTGCCACCAAGTATGGTGGCTTCAAAGGAGCTCACAAAACCTGAGGATCCACCTATTTGGAAACGACGCAATGTACCAGAAAATCTTACTGAGTCATGGTATAACTTCATGATTAAGGTATATATTTTAATTCAAGGCTGCCAATGATTGAAGAAATTCCATAATTTCAGGAAGTGATGCAAGATTTCCAGGCTTCTGTTCTTCAAGTGTGTGATGTATCATATGATGAAGAGATAGTCAAAACAATGCCAGCAAATCATTATGAATTCCCTAATGGTTATCATCGTGATTTTGGGGTGGAGAGATTCAAGATACCTGAACCTCTTTTCAACCCTACCACTGGTGCAAAAGCAGGCATACAACCTATTTTAGGAGTGGGTTCTTTGGTGACAACCAGTGTTGGAATGTGTGATATTGACATAAGACCTGTAAATATATAAAAAAATCTTATATTTCATGAACATGAACCCAAAATATGATGGATGTTTTTTTTATTTCAGGCAATGTATGGAAATGTTGTAGTGACTGGAGGAAATTCATGTCTTCAGGGATTCACAGAGAGGCTTAACAGAGACTTAGCTGCTAAAACTCCACCAGTGAGTATTAAGAAAGACAGCTGAGATAAGGGACATTTTTTATCTCCTTTTCAAATAACTTCATATTTTAATAGTGATTCACATAATAATCATAGAAAACCTGGAAATGTTGAAATTCAAAACATTCAGGTTTAAGCATTTTGATAATCTTGAATCCTGGAACTAACATAATATTTCTTTGCCATTCTGATTTATCCCTCAGGATGTATTAGGCCTGATTGATCCTGACTTTTTCTTGAAAGGCTTTATTCAAATTGTTCACAGTCTGATCTTAATAATTTTTAATTTTGTACATACCTGTTTTCCACACTATTTGAAAAATAATTCCAAATCATCATGTGCTGCTGGTCTTGGAACTTCCCAATCCTACACACATTAATTTCATTAGTACTATGTTGTTATTATCCTAATCTGATCTTCATACAGTGATGTTATTGTCAGAGATTCTTCTTGACAATTCAGTTTTGAATAATTTATGTTATTGGCTTTCCTCAAAGCCACTGGTAGACAAAGTTTTGATATATTTATTGAGAGGATTATATAAAGCAATGGTTGTTCTTGTGGGCTTGATGTATATATTACTTTGGTTCCTTGTCTCATAGGAATGGACCTCATGGTTCAATTTAATTCATGAATTACTCTTCTGTTCAGAGTTGCAAACTACTTAAGATGTATTTTGCATGAATATTTTATTGAAATTGTTGGTGAAGAAAATGTAAGAGAAAATGTTTCCTTCTGTCATTTTTTTTTGTAGAATTAAGAGTTGTTATCTACTCTCTCACTTCAAACCATATGATCAATTATTACTATTGTTTGAATATATTTGTTTTTGACTATATTTCCGGTTCTTATAGTTGAGCGACGCCCACACACTTGAAATAAACGGAATTAATTACTGTTCATATTAAGTGATTCCATGTGTATTTCATGTTGTTGGAGACTTCACTTTTATGAAATTTTTTAGAGCATGCGACTCAAGATCATCAGTGCTCCAGGAGCGTCAGAACGCAGATTTGGGGCTTGGACTGGTGGATCCATTTTAAGCTCCTTAGGGTCATTCCAACAGCTTTGGGTGTCCAAACAAGAATATGAAGAAACTGGTAAAATAATCGTTCAGTCTAAATGTTTATAAAAATAATTTCTGCTGTTCTTGGATGAGATCTTGGATGGGATATTTATATTTTTTATGTATTACACTTATTTAGGTAAGTGCTTCTCATATTCTCCAATTGATACATTTCAGTTGCAATGATATTGTTCTATTAGTTTTGGCAGTTGAGACTGAAATCTTACAAAGGTAGGTACTTATCAGTAAGTACTTTCTGATTTTGAAATTAATTTATTGATGTGATATTTTTTAACTGATATATCTATACAGCTGATTTTTTGACAGGAATCGGGAAACTGTTACCTCAAATATCTCAGAATATTCAGCTAGCTAGTTATTTGAAGTAGTGGCACATAGATGAGAGAAAGCTTCAAAAATGGAATGAAAGTCTCCTATCCAAAGACAAGTGTTCCCCGATTTTTCACCTTATTACCAATCATTGAAATAACCCATTTCTTCATATTTGTTGCAACACATTTGGATTATTGATTCTGAACTGCAGATGTCCTATGTTGTAGTTGAAAAATACCAGTTTCTCTCAATGAGCACCACAAGAATTGAGGTTTTGTCGGCACCAAGTTCAATCATTACAATTTTCTGTTTGATAGTTTGGTGTACTCAACTTCATGAGGAATAAACATTTCTGGGATGTTGTATCTAAACCTTTTCTCCATTTCTGTTTGAAAATCAGCCAGTCATTTTAAGTTTGTAGGTACTAAAATACCTATTCTAATATCTTCAATCATTATTGGGTATTACATGAAACTTATGTTTTTATATTTCAGGTTCCTATTTCTAATTTTTAATTCACAAAATCTCAGTTACAGTTTGTGAGAGATAGTTCAATTCATCCTGACATCCTGAAAAGTTCTTGGTCATTGAATTATGTAAATTGGACAAACAGTTGCGTTTCATTTTCAGTCTATTTGCAGCTGTTTGTATATATATATACACGGTCTGCCCTCAATAAGCATGCATAGCATGATCTAGAATCTAGCAAAATGACCATGAGAAATACATAATAATGTTTTGGCAAATCAACAAAATGCAGAAAAAGTTGCATTGGCGAAATGCTTCTTGGTATTCCTAGGCATACTATTTATTGTATAACATTGGAAATATGTATCCTCAAGTTTGAAATATCTCCACTTTTTTTATGCATATTGTTGGAGTTTTCTTTTTTTTTCAATTTCATTTCCTCGTTGGACCCAGCACTGGATCCAACGCCCCATAAGTCGAAACTTGTGCGGGGTTAGGAAAGCATACATTTACAAACATCCATGGCCTAACTGGGATTCGAACCCATGCCTAGGAGTCCCCATACGAACTCAGCGCCTTCGCGCTCTCGACCATCGGGCCGCCTTCTATTCAACATTCAACCGATGCTCGCTCTATCTCATGGATTCTAAGATTCTCATGCTCTGCTTGATTATCCTGGCCACACAGTATATAAGTTTCGAGTGATATATTGTACGGAACAGTATTATTTTAGAGAATTGATCGCAAAGAACGTGTCTGAAATTATAATTAACTAGATGTTTCCTTATTTATTTAGGTGTCTTTCTATTTTTCAAATTCATTCCACATTAGTAAATTCACTGAGCAGGGCTATATGATCAATGAAATATGGAAAATAATCCATTTCCAATGTTTGGAATAATTTTTGTGATTTTATTTGAGTTTGGCAACTAACTTTCAATTTCGGGAAACTATTCGGTCCCACTGGGATATTTTCACTTTTCTTCATTGCATTTCAAAACATTCTACAATGCAAGCGACTAAAATATACTAGTGAAAAACCTGTGAAAAATGCACATAGGAGATAATGCATCACAACTTAAATATTGAATTTAAATAGAGGTTTAAAAAAAAAGTAATTTAGTACGTTAGTCGGTTGGTTACCAAATATACTGAGTTAATTATGACTCAAGAATGAAATAAGCAAGATAAAACCCCCTTATACAGTGCTTTTCTCCAATGTCCCCCCCTCTTTTTATATTTAGAACGGGTCAACTGAATAAATTGAAACTTTGAATAATGACATTGATACATGAATACTATATCTTGGAGTGAAATTGACAGATGAAAATTTTTAAGCTCTTGTCGTACATTTTTTGCTTCAAATAGCTCCATTAAAAAAATCTAAAGGTGTCTAATCTGGCGAGCGGGCTCGCCAGACCGTGGAAAGTATCATCCAAATAGTTTCAAACTTGTCTGGAGTAATGTGGTAGGTGAAGATATCGAGTTTATATTCTAGGGTTGTGAAGTATTCGTCAGGAGCTTCAAAAGGATGTGTCAATTTTACTCAAATACAGTATTCATGCATCAGTTTGATTATCCCAAGTTTCATTTGTTTCAGTTGACCCGTTCAAAAAATAGAGAGAGGGGGTCATTAAAGAGAAGCACTGTAGTCGGTTATAAACTTTTAACGCAAACATTTTCGACGTACATTTTGTTATATCCATTTAGTCCCTGTTTTTTCCGGAATAAAGTCAACGGTGAACTGAGATATTTGGTCTAACCTAAATGCATAAAGAAGGTCCGGAAAGTTCCCCAAAATTGAAATTTTTGTTTTGCCTAACTCTGGATGTTTACAGCATCATAAATACTTTATTTACTGTATGCTTTATATAGGCTGAATTTTATTGAACTGATATTTTTGTGTTCATTTGGTGCATGCTTTTACATTGAACAGTATTTAAGACAATGTGAGTATTGAAGTTTTTAAAACTTATTTTTTTCGCTGACTAGTCATTCAAAGGGTGTATAAGTGCCATTATTAGTTTTTTTTGTCAAAATCTATGAGATTTTAATTCTATACTATCGTGACGTTCCTATATACTTTCTCTGAGATTATTTTTTATGAGTCTGATTTTATGAAATTCGTACTAGTGAAAACTGATGAATGTGATTCATTTTAACGTGCCAATAAATTAAATGACCATTGAACAATTTTTTTTTTCTCGCAAACTCTTGAAGATTGAGGGTAGCCAGATTCAGAGATCATTCCTTCTATTCTATGTCGTTGAAGGAAGTCTCTGTAGGGCAAAAAATTTCAGTTCTATGTTGATTTTGGATTCGAAAAATGAATGAGGTTCACCCTCTTCGAGCATTTTTGATTCCCTCGCAATGGACTCGATACTCGTATCTATACAAAGTGCGGTCCCCTGCGTTATAATGTTATACATTTCTGTAGAAGGTATAAAAAATAAATGAACATATATACTCAAAAACATTTATTTGAGGTAATATAGATAATAAATTACATAATAATACAGCATTGTAATAACTACAGTCATTATAATTTTTCTATCCTAAGGAGGTGGTAGTTTACATATACTGTTATGAGCAAAAATGGCTGTCAGACCAGCGAGTGTTATACCAATACTGTCTCCAAAACTAGTAATAGCCATCGAAAATTGTTTGTTTTCTTCTAGCACCTAAAACAAGAGAACGCAACATAAAATAATACATAATATAACACATACCTCTATTATCTAACTAGTTTCTCACCTCATTAGTAATCCTATAGTATGTGTTAACATAAGATGATCCTCCTAATACACCTTCCCATAATACGAGTGCTACTACTATGTAGAAATTCGGTATATAGTAATATATAGCTTCTGTAGTGAATATCACTAGATTGAGAGCCTGAAAATATCATGAAATATTAATGGGGTAACATTTCCTCTCATAATCAGATCACGAATTACCAAGGACAATATCACAACTTACAGTGATTCACTTCTCATTCAAGCACCTGCCTCAATAACTGAGGTAGAATTCTGAAATGCGTAGAAGTGAGAAGGATACCTAAGATACATTTGAATCATGGAATCATCAACATTTCCAGAAAATAATATTAGAACCCAAAATCGGATTCAAAATCAATACCACAATTAAAAGCTGATGGAACTCTCCTCAAAAATCCAAATCCTAATTTCAGAACCCTACCCCAATAAAATTAAGGAATATACGGGGGTGTTCCTATTAGGAGTGAGACGAATTTGGATTCATCAGAACTGAAACTGTTTCAAGCAAAAGTTTTAAAGGTATTTCGTCTCCTAATATCATATTCCGTGATTGTTGCTTCCATGGCTGCTATCGAGCAGTGTATAAGTAGTGTATCTGCGGCGGTCCTGCGACAGTTTTGGTAAGCTGTCCATCAAGTTCTCCAGCTGTCGCAGTCAATAGGGGGATCTACTTGTGCTTTGCGTAGACTTTCCTAGGTGCCAACATGCAGAAGTGTAGATAATAACCAGAAGGTGTCGCATAAGATATACCTTTTCATTCCCCTGTGTTTCACCTGTCTCAACAACGATATAACCCTTACGAATGATATAGAAAATACTTTGATAGTTCATTCCCTAATTCATTTGGAAATACACCGGATGACGGAGGGTATCGGGCCACCCCTGTATAACTTCTGCATTCGTTAACGTTTTTTTTTTCTTCTGAAATTTGGAAGTCATTCCGGATTTGATCACATCACAATCCAATATGGCAGACTTCCGGTTTTTCTAGAAATGTCAGCAACTTCTGTTTTTTTCAAATGGAACACCTTGTATATTTTTACAGATTCAAGTTGAACAAGTCAAAACAAGTGCAATCTCTATGCCGAATGTTACTTTTTTTCGAAAAAATTTATTATTATTTCACCTCCTGGATAATTGAGATATGTGGTCAAGGCTATTCACAATGAGTCCTACATAACAGAGAAACATATTTTTTTCACAAGTAGTTGACAAGATTTAGAAATGTTATTTTCCACAAGCTCACTAAAGTTGAAAAATTATTCGAACTGCAGGGAAATTCATGAACTAGTTGTTGATTTCCGAATGTATACAATTTGTAGCTGCACCGAAATACAAATATGATGTTATTTTTTTCTTTTTCAATGTATGTTGTAGGGGGTTCCATTTGAAAAAACTGAATTTTTGATCAAAATGTGATGTGACTGAATTGAATCATCGATTAGGGACACAATAATTTTTCAGAAAAAATATGTTTCTCTATTACGTGCGACTCATTGTGAATAGCATTGACCATATTTCATTTATCCATGAGCTGAAATTAAAAAAAACAATTTCAAATTCAATTTTTCCGAAAAAATTACATTTGGGATAGAGATTTCACACGTTTCGACCTGTTGAACGAATATGTAAAAATATACTGGGTATTCCATTAAAAAAAAAACAATGTTGCTGGCATCTCTTGAAAAACCGGAATGGTTGCTATACAAATTTCAGAAAAATCCGTTTATGAATGCAGAAGTTACAGGGATGGCCTCTGATACCCTTTGTCACCCGGTATACCTTGTTATATTATATTTAATGAATTAAAAAGGTGAAATACCTATTCGACTGCATTAGATTTAATTAAGATTATTATGATAACAAAATATCTCATAGCCTATGAATACTCATAAACAAATTGATTAACAGTTATTTTTAGAAATAATTAAACAGCGATAAGAGGTTATCATACGATCAACATCATGATTTATTGTCATAACAAGGCTCCTACCTGATATGTTGGTGTATGCTTCATGGGCCAGGGGACCGGGGTTCAACTCACGATGGCAGGATCTTTCTTTGATGAATTTTTCATATTAAATACATTAAATAATAGTCTCTGACGTAACACGGTTCTACAGTAGCTCATGTGACATGGTATCCTAATTAAGTAGGTGTCACAGGTGTCAAGGTGAATCTTATACGAGAACACCTTCTGGTCATTGTCGACATTTCTGCATATTGGCACCTCGGAAAATCTGAAAAAGCACAACTATACCCGCCCCCGCCCCTATTACCTACCACAGGCTGAGCACTCGAAGGACAGTTTACCAAATTGTCGCAGGACCGCCTCAGATACACTACTGTGTAGTGATCCTACTCGATCACGTGTTTATAACTCTACTCCATCCAATTACCATACTCGCGAACTTAACAGTGTTAACTTAGTAAGATATTTTTTTCCTTCAGTAATGAACTCACTTTCAATTATTTGACCGAATATAATGGGTGTCCCGAAATTGGAGTGATAAATAAAATGGTGTGCTGTGAGACATGAGACATGACACAATCAATCAAGAGGAAAAAAATGTTCTCTATCCTTCTCTCTATCTTTACCTCTCGCTCGCTCCTGCAAATGTCCTATGTCAATAATTACTCAAGATACCTACGAGGGTGCTTTCATTAGAAGTGAGACCAGGAGCGACTCTACCTGTGGTGTACAACTGTTCAGGGTGAGCCAAATTGGACACTTTTAAAGGGAAAGTCATATTTCCGTACTAGATAGAAAAAAACTGATGTTGGTGCCTGTTGATCAATTCACATGACAAACTCGATGGTGAAAAGTGCATATCGATATATATCTTCGTTTCAGAGTTGTTTTTCGAAAATATGAATGTTCGAAAAGCAGTGGCTGAAACTCATTTTGTTGTCAAAAATTCTTCGTTTCCATAAAAACATTTTCAAAGCATTGTGTTTGTCATGAAAATTGATCCTCAGGCACTGAAATCAGTCACCATATACCTAGTTTCAAAATAGAACTTTTCCATCAAGAAGAACAAGTTATATTATTGAACAAGATATAGAAAGGCCGATTCCAGTGCCTCAGGAATGATTGTTATCACAAACTCAATGCTTTGCAGTTATTTTCATGAGAACATACAATTTTTGCCAAAAAAATATTTGTAGCACCTTTTCAAAAATGCCATTTTCGGAGAACACCTTGTATCTCCGAAACGATAACAGATATCGATGTGCGGTTTCAGATATCGATATACAGTTTTCACCATTGAGTTTTGCATGAGAATCGACCCTCAGGCGTCGACATCAGTTTTCTTCTATCTAGTTGAAGGATAGAACTTTCCCTTTGAAAGTGACCAATTTGGCTCACCCTGTACAAGTAATGCGGGGGTCCTCAAGTGCATCAGATATTATCAAAGCTTCGTTCAGTTTAAATATAATATTTTTTTATATTATTATTGTTCTATTTTAAAATACATTCCTATCATCGATAATATTTATTTCTACTTTTTTTATTTTTCGAAAATTTTGAAAAATAAACTGAATGAATAGTGTTCCTCTAAGAATCTCACAAAGAAGCAGAACATATATATTGGATAATACTCGTAGCTGAATTTTCTCATCCAACATTTCAAGACATTTGAACTTGAAGAATTGAGAATGTTCGTCCTCTACTGTACCCTTGAGGTGTTAAGTGGTAAAATCAAATTACACCCCTTGAGTATTTTGGGGGCGCTACACAAATCTTTGCCCCGGCGTATGTTAGGTCAGTGATGGCGCTGAGGATACACTGTATTTTACTCACTTGGAAAAATGTCATGTACCAAGTTTGTTTGATATGGAAAAAATTGACTGAGGATCGAGACAGAAATACTCCAATTTGGTATGTCACTTGGAACCATCTATACTGCTCAGCTTGTGAAAGAGACGAATTCTCAAATTGTATCAACTCAAACTAAAACCATCAAAAAAAGAGATTAATCTTGTTATACTTGGAAAATAAATAGTCTACAGACTTACCATTCCTTGATTTATGAAGTATTCGAAAAAATATACCAATGCGAATGGTACCATGTATTTCAATAGCCCTGGGATAAGAGAAAGTTTCTTCTTGATCGCTTCTTTAGGATGTTGCAACTCCTGCTCATTCACAATTTTCTGGATGTCTAAGGCATTAGCAATGTCATCTTCAGAAGGTCGTGGAAGGATTATCCAGAAGCTGAATCAGAAGTAAAATATGTGCAAACTCAAATTCCATATTTGTGGAAACTATTTGAAAAGTGCGCCTATATAAACTTGGAACCAATTGATTTTTTCATGGTAGTGAAAATTCTTACAATACACGAAAGATGTAAAATTTTCGAGAATTTATGTTTGGGGTGTAGTAAAGTATTCAACAACTCACTTTTCGCGGTTCTTTCTCAAAATGCTCAAATTGCTGAAAATGCTCAAAACTTTCCTAACGCTTCATAAGCTAATGATCCACTTTTTTGAATATGTGCCGCGTTACATTTCGATGTTTTTCAATATCTTTATCTTAGAGAAAGTGAATGAATAATATTTTTCCTTGTCCTACGTAATGAAATGTTCATAAAATACACGTCCTAGAACAACAATGTTATTATTGTCTTCCAATATCATTTGACCTATTACGGATTCGGGATATTTTACATATTTTATTGAATGATTTGGCCATTCGTGTCGGATGTATTCACAATTACAAAATTTGCAAGAAAACGTGTCTCAACCATTTCGTTTTTATAACGAGTGAAATCGAATGCCTCGCGTTTCATTCTGGACATATTTTAATTCGAATATAATAGTTATTTCTGATACTAATGCGCGAAATGCTATACTTTGGTGATAGAGTTTTGATTTTTTCAACGTGGCGCTGCCTCTATTAACTATGGTTGAACATTTAGAGAAAAACGATTTTTTCAATGTTGACTTGATTGAGGGCCATAAAGGTTATATTTCAAAAATCTCATATAGTTTACACGCAATGTGCGAAGTATTTACTTTGCGCACAGTGTCGTGGTAACGTAGGAAACAATAAAAGTGTCACTTCGCATATTGTTATCAATGCGCAAACCTTGTCACTTTTTGACGTTTGTAGAAATACATATAAATAGATTCAAGTACACACTATTTTCTGCGAAAACAGGGTAGTGAATTTAATGAATAAAAATCGACACGTACACTCCAAAAAAGTGATTTGAGAAATCTATTTTCGCACTGCTTATTCACGGACCAAATTTCATCCACGAAGATATAAGCACATATGTTTTATTCAAAATAATTTAAATATTCCGCGGCATCGAACACTAAAAACCGAAATATCACGAAAACAGATTGCTTTAGCGAATTTTCATTGTACTTTACTTTACTTACAAGTGTACTTTTTTTGTCGAAAAATATTCGGAAAGTTATTTCCCCAACAAAAAAAAAGGTAAAAAACTACACTGAGAAGGAACTTATGGCCATTCTAAACCATAAGAAGTGCATTAGTAAGCGTCCTCTAATGGTCACAGTCAAAATGTGTCCGTATTCGGGTTTCGCACCGCAAAGAGGCCCCGGATACCAATTATTGAAGTGATACCTTCAAAAATAATCATACCTTCTGTAATATTAAATTTTTATTTTTTAACTTCATCCCCCTGTCTCTCAGAAATGGAGGGATTTCGGACTGAGGAAAGTTGCTTTGAATCGGCTTATTTTGACCTGCGATTTTGTACCGACCTTCTAGGGACACCCTGTATATCTTACTCATTTTTTCGAACGACAGTTTGAGGGTTCCTGCGCATTGAGTAGAAACGTTTTCAAACGAGCATTTGACCCCAAGATTTTCGAGTTGCTAAGATAGTAGTTATGCCAGTGTTGGCATCCTAGAATAATTATGCTTAATGAAATTTTTTATGTACATAGTAGCCTTTGCTGCTGTTCCTACTTCGATATGCATTTTGCATAATATATTACAATGGCAAATATGTACTAGAAATGCCCAAGAGAACAAGATGAAATATTTTCGAGCTCATAGATTTTATTTTCAACCTTCTTAAGTCCATGTATACAATACATACAGGGTCATCAGTGAAGAAAATGTAGATTCGTGTCATACAGGAATAATTTCTGTGTAGGATTAGGAAATCTGAATATTTTACTTACGAAATCCCCATCAAAGCAGGAATGATCAGCATTACCAAAAGACTTGTTCTCATGCCGATGCTATGTAAAATTGAGTACGAAAGGGCCCCTATCACTCCTGCTCCGCCTGTACCAGAGCTCCATGTTGAAACGACATTCCTAAATATAAATATGTCAGTAGTTGCAATTTCGACAGACTCATCAAGTTCATCTTTACTGTGGTCAAGTCGTGTGATTTCGCCTATATTTTCGCCAACTTAATTTTCACCAGATTATTCTGAAAAGTTGGTGCCTTGGATAATCAGTAGTGTTCTATCGACCCAAAATATTCTCAGCGTTGCGACGTTGCTGCTTATATTGAAAAGTAGCAACAACTTTGATTTTTTAAATTGGACACCCTGTATATTATTACATTTTCAGATTTTCCCTGAAGAGCTGATTTCATTGACTTGGGGTCTTTCAGTAATAACCGTTTTGACCAATTATGAATAGTTTCGACACAAAAAATTCTTAAAGTTGAAAAATCTCGATTTTTCACACCCTAGATCTTTGTTATCATTCCCGCTAGACCCCAAGTGTGATAGGTCGATGAAATCAGCTCTTCAGGGAAAATCTGAAAATGGAATGGGGTGTCCCATCAAAAAATCAAAGTTGTTGCTACTTTTCAATATAAGCGGCAACGTTGCAGCGCTGAGAATATCTCAGGACGATAGAACTAGAAATTTTCAAAATAGTCCTACGTAGCGTTCTCTAGAAACGTCTAATGTACCATTCACCGTGATTCAGCCTGTATATTACTCCTCGTTGTTTCACTATCGAGCTGATCATTTCCGAAATCTGTATTTGAATCGAAAATGTGAATATCGAAAAGACAACTTAACATGTTGCCTTTCGAAATTTTGTGGTACGATTTTGAACTTCTTTTCAAAATGGGAAAGGAAATGGGAATTATCATTTGTCCTGATGTTAATTTGGACAACTGTTATGAAATGTCACTGACAAGTTGACTCTCATATTATGGGTGGTAAGTACAGTTTCTGGATGAAGAATGATTTTGTTAAAGGGATTTTCTTTCGCATTGTAGGGCTGTAATGACGAAAGTCTAAAGGAAATCCTGCTCTGCAAAATATGAAAAAAAATGGGTCCAAAAATGCTTCATTTCCGCATGATTTCCGTGATACATATACCGGTTGAGTGAAATTCGAGTACATGCATAAAGATCTCGGGAACGGTAAGAGCTACAGTGAGAGTTTATGCCTAACAATATGCTGTTTTCTGAAAAAAAAAAAAAAAAAAATTCGCGATTTCACTTTCACGATCACAAATCATCTTGTAGAACAGAAAAAGTAGCAATGAGAATGTGCAATTTGTTTCGCTACATCTATTTGAAAGGAGTCCTACAAAAATAGAAATGAAATCGGTATATTTGTTCTTTTTCAAAATTCATCGGGAGTTTTCGGCATTTTTCAAATTTCAAAACAGCATCGTTAGACATCAAATTGTGTAACTTTGCCTCCATTTAACCCTCTCTGTAGCTCTTACATGCTCTTACCGTTTCCGCGATCCCTATGCAACTACTCGAATTTCACTCACCCGTATAGAGGGTATTGAGTTTTTTGAATAGATTCAGTTTTTCATTGATAGCACGAAAAAACGCTTTTGCCGATTTCTATGAAATTTTCACGGTTCATTCAAACAATTACTACACTTCTCTAGTGGACCAGTCACAAATACAATATGAACAATAATCTTTTTTGAGCACTTATTTCTCCTCATGAAGTTATCAGGAATAAAAGGTGCTGCGGTATGTATTTTCTTTTCAAAGCGGGACACTGCTGAAATTAGTCAAGGGATGAAAATTTTGTATTTATTTTTGATGGGTTTACATCAATAACTGAAAATCCCAAATAAACTACAGGGTGCTATATTTTTTTCTACAAAAAAAAACGACCGACTTGCTCGCTGGATAAGCCCTGGAAATCATGGATCGATTCTTATAGGTCCAGTACTAGCTACTACTGTTCAAATAAACCGTGAAAATCGTATTGAAACCGGCAAACGCGTTTTTAGACTATTGAAAAACTGCTCTTTTCTCAAAAACCTCAACACCTTGTATTTCGTATAAGAAGAATTTTGGATCCACGTCCATGTAAAAGTTTTTACGTATTTTGCTGATAATGAATGATTAATATACTGATTCGCTGAAGACTAATCAAGATAACGATACAACAAAGTTTTGAATTCTGTGGACGATACACACAGTGCATTGCATTTGGCATTTTTCGAAAAAAATATGATGAAATTCTAGAATCTTGATTGATATTCGGTTTTCTCTGGAATTGTTTACATAAGGAATTCTCCAGAGAGTCTGTATCTGGGAACTTACAGAAATGTAGTATAAATTGAGCTGGGATGCGTAAAACATATACTAAGTTTCAGAAATATCTAGTCCCCTAATAGGTAGAATGATAATGATTATACTTCCATAAACAATTTGTTGTTGAATATCAAATTATTGCAATATCAAATAGAGGTGACCGTGATATATAATCTAGAATTACATTCCTCAGAATCGACAGATAGTGAACTTGTCTAGTATTGCAGTTCTTTCGTAACAATAAGATACCTACTTTTGATATGACATTCAAAAGCATGACGCCTAAAATGAAAAATGCTTAATAGACTTGATAAATCGAAACTGGGTATCAAAAAACAGCATCATTCAACCATCTTCCAAAACAAACAGGAATAGGATTGCATAAAGTATAGTTACTCCTGTTGATGATTTCCCGACTAATTTGACTTCTTTCAATGAAAAAATAGATATGTATGATGGTGTAGTAATATCCCTAATACTTATGATCGTGAAAATTGGTCGTTCCCAATTAATATTCACAAAATTGACCAGATACTTATAAATTATTCCAATGTAAAATGCGTGTCGATATGTACCTAAATAATGTCTATTATTTTCCTACCTATTTCCTTACTTGTCATAGAAACTACTGTATTGTAGATAGGTCACTTCTCCGAATCCAGAGCAGAAGGAAGTCAGCACTACTCCTAACAAGGATATTACCAAAGTTTTGCTGTAGGCTACACTTATGAAACCAGCTGAAGCCAACAAAAGGCAAATTATTACCCTTATACTAAAAAAAAAAATTGATATTCATTTCAAGAAAAATACTTTGAACAGACATGAATAGAGGTTATTCTTCTCGAATAATTGGTCCTGGTGGGGCCACACTGTAGATGCAGATGAGAAAATTACACATTTCTTGTAGGGGTTTCAAGATATCTGAACTTCATTTCGAAATAAAATTTCTGGATACAATGACAATATGATTATTATAATTGAAAATATGTAGGATCCTATAATGTAAGCAAGTTATTCAATCAAGAATCAATTGGTCTCAACAACTATCAGCAATATCAATAAGTTAAGTACGTTGATATTCATTTTAATTAGTTCAATTACAAATATTTATTAGACTTAAATAAAAATGATGTATATATACATACAATATACGAATAAATCATCATTTTGAGAACAAGGTGTCTACAGTGTGACCCCATTGCAATAAAGGGAATATGTCGTTTCCTAAAATTTGTATTTATATGATTTCGCAAATTTTCTTTGCATTGAAGAGCATGAAAAACTGTACGTCAGAGCAAAGTAACACTACATTTACAAAAAAAGCAAAGTATTCAATGCGTACATTTTTGAGGATGAGAATTTTAGAAAACATTAGTGATATTTCAACGGAAAATCTGAATGAACTACTAGATTCAGCGCCCACTCAAGTGGTGGGCGTGAACCGAATTCCAAGGGCGTAGATTTTTATTTTTCTTGAGGGGGGAGGGGGTAAAGCAAAAAATAAAATGTTGTTTTACTTTGAACAACTTTTTTAAAATCACTTGATTATGAACTACCTGAACAAATGAGTCTATCGAACGCAACGCCACATTACAAGTATGTTACAAAATACGCTGGTCTAAATTTTAATGTTTCATCAGTTAAGTATTCGTAATATTTTGAGTTTTTATTATGGTTCTGGGGAAGGGGGGGGGAATTACCACCTTTACCCCCCACTCTCCATATCTACGCCCTTGCTGAATTCCAAGAAAATATTTTATAACAAATTTGTTGTGGTTGAATCAAAATTTATATTTTTTTCAATAATTGAAGTTAGTTCTGTCAACTGCAGTCTTATAACGAAAATAAATCAAGACTGTCTGTTCATTTCTGCCCGATAAATTGACTCGAATGCATAATTACATTATCATAGATAATTATAATAGCAATTCAGTAAATTCGGGTACTCACTGTACAAAAAATGGAAGGAATGGTGCAATTGTCTTTATCATCAAACCTGGAAGAATATCGGCCAATAAAATAGCCCCTGTAGACATATATGTACAGTTCCTCTGATGATTCGTATTATTATTCTGAAATAAAATAACTCGAAAATATTTTGTGAAATATCCTCATAGTTTATGGGGAATGTGTTATAGTATTGTATAATAGGTTGTCATAATAACTGCAGCATTAGGGGGTATATACATTTTCTGCCCCGTAAAAAATTGAACATATATGGAAGGAAACAGCCCTTGTTTGCGTGATACATTGTATGATTTTTCTCAATTTGTCGTTTCATCGATCCATAGACGCCGATACAGTGATTATATATCACTTCTCTAGGAATAATTAGCGCACCACTGAGTATTAAAAAAAATCAGTATTTCCTAAATGATTTACTGAATGCTCAAGAAGGAAACATTCTTGTGCAAAACAAGCCGGTTGCAATTTATTCGCATCAGTTAAACTCCTTCATTCGATTCAAAATAACTTCAAAATTAATAATATCCATTACGAAATTAATTTTAAAATAAATATCATTGAATGCTTCATTATTTATGTGCACAAAATAATGTAACTCAAATGAATCGAAAAAGGCTTGGCAAAATGCTCTCTTTCTCAGGAGAGAACAAGTAATCAAGTGGATTACTGACTTTTTCGAAAATATCTAGTGGGCTACGTGCTTGCAGGGAAAGGGAGTATGTAAAGCTTAAAAAATATCACCATTTTATTTGAATCAAGTTTTGGTGGATTATTCAAAAGATTGTTCATCAAGGAAAGTCACCTCTCGAAATGTAATGAACAAAAATCTGGACCATCCTGTATTATAAATAGTTTAGAAAATCTACTTACTCCTTAGTCATAATTCGCGATATCAATAGTATGGAATTTCGAAAAAATCAATAACCTAAATGAGAAATGTTGAGTTTTTCTAGGTACCAAAAGTATAGTTGTAGTTGTATGTAAATAAAATAAATATGATACGATTCTACATGACATCTCGACATGACATACTAGGCATTTAAAATTTCCTCAATATGTACTCATTACACAATATGTGATAAATTTTATGAAACTCCCAACTAGTAATAAAATTTAGCGTAATAGGAATTTTTCAATTGTTGTATACACACTTTGCGAAATAAACTATTTTGCAAATCCGTATCCAATTTCAACAGCAACAATAAAATGCAGAAACATGAATATACCGGGTGACACAGGTTATCGGGCCACCCCTGTAACTTCTGCATTCGTCAACGGATTTTTCTGAAATTCGGTACAGTTATATAAGCAACTATTTCGGATTTGATCACATTACAATCCAATATGGCGGACTTCCGGTTTTTCTGGAAATGCCAGAAATTTTGTTTTTTCAAATGGAACACTCTGTATATTTTTACATATTCAAGTTCAACAGGTCAAAACAAGTGCAATCTTGATGTCAAATGTCATTCATTCCACAGCCTACCTAGTTGAAAGATTATTTTAACTGCAAGGAAATTCATAAACTAGTTGTTGATTTTTGAATGTATACAATTTGTTACTGCACCGAAAAACAAAAATGATATGTCATTTTGTTCCTCAATGTATGTTCTAGAGAGACGGGTAGGTGGCCCATAAGGGTTCCATTTGAAAAAAAAAATAATTTTTGATCAAAAAGTGATGTGGCTGAATTGATTCCTGGATAAGTGACACAAAAAATAATTTTTCAGAAAAAATTATGTTCTTCTGTTATGTGTGACTCATTGTGAATAGTCTTGACCACATCTCATTTATCCACGACGTGAAATGAAAAAACAATTTTAATTCAATTTTTTTCGAAAAAATGACATTTAAATAAAGATTGCACTTGTTTCGACCTGTTGAACTTGAATATGTAAAAATATACAGGGTGTTTCATTTGAAAAAACAAAGTTGCTGGCATTTCCAGAAATACCGGAAGTCCGCCATATTGGATTGTAATGTGATCAAATCTGAAATGATTGCTTATATAACTGTACCGAATTTCAGAAAAATCCGACGACGAAAGCAGAAGTTGAGTGGCCCGATACCCTGTGTCACCCGGTATATAGGTATAGGTAATTGGCACAAATACGGTTTGTTGAATCAGCCCTGGACACATGCGTGGAAGTTCGAAATACACTTTACATGGTTTGAAAGATAACTGATATAGCTGGAAAAGTATGGTTTCCCACAACTCCTCATTGATATTTTCGTTCGAAAAATTGGAATTTTTGATTCAAATATGGATCTGTTTTGAGTTCTTTTTTCTACTGATGAAATACTGAACGATAAAATTCACGGTAGGTATACTTTCAATTTTCATATGTTGGAACGCACGAAAGGGAATCCCTATTATGTTCGTGTAAAATTGTGCGTGAATTGGGTAACAAAAAGGAAGTGTTGTTTTTCTCGAACTTTTCGAGGTTATATAGGTTCTTGAGAATATTCTCAGGGTGAAGAATTCCAAACATTTGTCGTTATAAGAATGAACGAGTTCTGGTAGCGAATTGTTCGAGAAACATCAAGGCCAGAATTTCACATACTCCAGCACGAACCAGGTAGGCAATGACATTTTGAGAAAAACTGTTGAAAAACTTGAGATTTCGTGAAAAGCAAACCCCTACAACTTCAAGGTGAAAAATACGATAGGCTCCTTACTCACGTTTTCTTCCGAAGTACTTTCACCACTTTGATTAGCTATAATATCACTAGCAGCAGTTAACATCACAACGTATCCATAGTTGTTACAAAGGCCCAAGATCCAATAAGCTACAAAGGCTCTCCACCTCCTAGTTTTAGTGTTAGGGGTCGAAATAAACTGACCAGTTCCTGATGGAGGTGCCAGTGCATCAGAACTCTGGTCCGTCATCTTCCTTTTCAGTCTAGTTCTGATCACTTTGCAGCAACCTATTTGTCTGGAAAGTCTCAGAAATCTCCTAGGAGAAATATTATTCCTGGAAGTAAATAGTAGAATAATAACAATATCTGTTATTGTGTTTGTTGCGATAAAAATATGTACTACCAACTGAATTATTTTTTAATCGATTCAGATTTGTATCGTAGGTATCTTATCTATACTGTCCTGATTTATCAATAAGTATATTATGTTGTTCGATTGTTGACATTTCGGGATTGCTCCCCATTGTTTTCCTATAGGTTTCACAATGCGGTATGGTAGAGCGAAACAACTTTGTCTGGTAAGTATCTCTGATAAATACAGGGTGGAGACTTCAACTGGAATAAATTCGTTACTGAAGGAATGAATGATTTTTCTTAAAATACGTCAACGTTTAAATGTATTTACCTATATTTGACGAGCAATATGGGGAATATAACCCTTCAGGAGTAGTAGGAATCTACCCAAACATGTTTTTTTCACATGCAACCCTAGGGCTTGCGACCCCTCATTGAAGAGCTGGTTGAAAGAGGAATCCAGCCTACTGATTATATTTGAGTTTGCAGTATGTTTGGGGGTCGCAACAAATCAAAATATAATTTCGAAGTTTAATATATTTTCAACGTATTTTAATCGAAATTTCGCCTTTATTGACAGTGATATAGGGCATTTCCACCAGTTTGCAATAAAACTTCATTTCGAACTGTGAATACAGCAAAAAAACTAAATTAATATTTGCGGCTCTGTAAAAACACTAGAATACTATAGCAGTTGTAGCAAACAATTGCTATCAATTGTTCAACACACATTTTGAGCGATTGATATGTTGAGAAAAAAAATTAATTTTAAAATTACATTTCAATGTTATGCAACCTTCAACTAGTATGCTAGATTCCTCTTTTCTCCAGTTTTCCAATGATGGGTCACAAGCCATAGGGTTACGTTTGAAAAAATCATGTTGAGGGTTGTTTCAGCTACCCCTGAAGGGATATATTCTCGATGTTTCTTGCAAAAAGTAGGTAAATACATCAAATCGTTGACGTATGTCGGGAATTTACAGAAAAAATATTCACCTCCTCGCTAACGAATTTATTACAGTTAAATTATCCACACTGTATATGTTACCGGACAAACCAGATTTTAGGATGAACTAGTTTTTCCTAGGGTGAATCAGTTTATCCGAAGAGCGATAGGATGAAATAGTTTGTTCATATTTTGTGAGGAAGGAACATACACCTATCTATGAGTAGATCATTCGGGAACGTAGTCATTGAATTTTTTATCAATCAGCTTGAGTTTTTCCTGATTGATCTACTCATAGAAGTGTATGTTCCTTCCTCACAAAGTATTAACAAAGTAGTACGAAGTAGACAAACTAGTTCATCCTATCGCTCTTCGGATATACTGATTTAGCCTAGGAAAATCTAGTTTATTCTAAAATCGGTTTTGTCCGGTAACATATACATGTCCACGTTGTTCGTGGAATCTATTTATGATTTTCAGAACTAAAACAACTACCCCTTGGGGTGGCACGTTGTATGTATACCGGATTGAAAAATTCAAAAACTGATTGAATGGCATTGAAGTACCTTCCTAATGTCATATTACATTTGACAGTTCTCTGGCAGCTACCTCCCACTTTTTAATTTCATATGGCACCCCTTGTATATTGCCATTGAAAATTACGTATTATTCAATTTGGAATGTTATCTTGTATTAATATACAAAGTGTTCCCCTGACCCAAACCTATATTATTATAGGGGGACTGTCTGCGTATTACCCGAGGTATTACCCTACTAATGAAGTGTTGACATCTTGTCACTCATATCATTTATCAAAAAGGTTTGTAGCTCAGTCGTAAAGGTGTCAGGTTTGTAATTATATGATAAATTTCCTTCAAATAATACACCTACCAGCAATATTCTTAGAATATCTATAACAGTTCATTTTGCATATTCATAGAACGTTCCTAGAATATTTGTATAATATTTTGAGAATATTCAAATAATGAGCTATTAATATTTTGATAATGAACTCAGAGCATCTCAAGAATATTCAGAGAATGTTTAGAGAATTGTGAAATTCAGTTCACTTTGGATGTTCATACAATGTGCATAACATTTTCGAAGTGTATTGTGGAAATATTCTAAGGAAATTCAAATGTCCATCATGTGCTTCTATGAATATTCTATGATAGTACTGTGCTATCTGGGAACATTTTTAAAGCTGAAGCTTATTATATTTTATTTTGCTATAATATAAATTTATAAGTATATACCTTTAAAACTATGTTGTATTATTTTTTTATTAGTTCAGGTGCTAGAGGAAAACTACTCATCAAAAGAACGTGGTATGTTAGATTGATAATTAGGTCATTGAGAAGAAATTTTTCCGTAGACTCAATATGCATTAAACAGTGCCCTGCTGTGAATCATTTACCACCGCAACAGTGCCAATTTTTGCAATAGAAACTTCACTGGAGAATGAAAATTGACATAAGCACCCATAACTCGAATCAACACAAAGAAACGAATGGCGCGGATAAATTCGCCAAATGACTCATATCTGATTAAAAATCAAACCTTACACGCGCAATTTTCGGAAACTTGTGAAATCCCATTTTCTTTGAAATTTCTTGTTTCTTAGCATTGAAACAACCGTGCGATATAATTATTTGGTTTTTCCATGCAACAGGCCGATAAACATCTTTATATTACAACGATTGCTAATCGAATTGCGAAATATATTGATTATTATTGTATATTTTTGTCGCTTTTGGTCCCAACGAGAATTGAAGAAATGATACATCATTGCTTTACCCAATTTGAAACTACTAACATCTGTTTCAGTAAAAAAATTACCTTCAATCGCATTATGAAGAAAGAAAACATAGAAATGCTAACTGAAAAGTTGATGAAGTTTTAACGGAGTTTGTTCAGTGGGTGAAAATCTCTGGTCCAATATGAAACATATAAATCAGTAGTCGAAGTACTTTATGAATTCGATATTTCAGGTTCAAAATATATCTAAGGCGACACTTCTTTATAGAAAACATGTCTGTCGCACATATAAGCAGATTTCACGAAATCACTCAAGAGCAAAATTGTGTTCAGAAAGACCGTCGTAGGAAAAAAGGTCGGTATATTTTGTCTATTTATAACAACAACAAAATTAACATTTCCTGACTTTTTTTACGTAACTTAATTGAAAATAAATGCCTCCACCTATGTTTTTATATGTCAGACAATTAAGACAGTTATTCTATTTTATACTGTGGAACATTAATCATTCACAAACGGTACCTAAACCAATATGAATAACTGTTCCAATAAGAACACCGATACCGTCCAATCGCAAAATGTTCTCTGAAGAAGACTGTACATTAATTATTGTGTTACTTGTGTGGAAGTGGAAAGAACTAGAGAGTCCCTGTATATACCTTAGACAAGAGTCCGGACACAGCTATACTTCTGTCCTTCTCTGTTTTCAAAAAATGCATTGATGATTGAATAAAGGAATAAGACATATAATATAGAGCTCTGTCTTTTCAATTCCCCTAGTATCAATGATTGTCAGAAACAATTTTGAGGGTTAGATTAGTTGTCAAACCGTTCATAGCCGTAGGTAGAAGTGAGAAATAGGGCTATGTTAACTAGAATAACCATCAGATTTTCAAATAATGAACAACATGGTGTTCAAATTTCGAATCGATAATGTTCATAATCAATTCCTGAGATGGCTATTGCAAATTTTCGTCATCAGATATTTCTTCACCTCATTAGATATAAGAAAGATAATTTAAGTGTTCTACGTGGTATCACATATAGCCAAGAAAATATAGTTGTTTTCTATTGGGATATAAAAAAATAGAAGATAATTATATAATTGTTTCAACATAATTTTAATTGTGTCAGTTTCCCACCTCTTCCTGCAGTCTATATCCACCTGTAAATTTTGAATTTGATCTGAATTAAAAACACCGTGGACTGATGACATAGCACATTGCAATTTCTCTAAATCTTTCAGTTTTGATTTCAAACTTTCAATTTCTTCCCGCATTATCTCATCCTCATTTTCTTTCTCTGCGATCGTATTCATTAATTCCCAATACGATGACGACGGAACTCTTTTTAGAATGTCTCTATTTTATAAATTGACGGCACAGCAGACTCTTTCAATTTGAAATCCATCAGCTTGAAAGAATCTCTATCAAAATGGGCCAAAAATTCATCTTTTTTGTACTGTTTCTACACGTGAATTTGAATATTTTGCTCACATATTGCGTATTTCTTGAAATTAATTTTCCATTCTGCACGTTTCATTGCATTCTTCCATGACATTATCTTTGAAGGATCATTCGGAAAATTGAATAACTTGAATACCTTCTCTAATGAATTATCGCAATAATGTACGCAGCAGGACATTGAAATAATTTAAAATGCTAAATTTTGGCGGTCATAAAACTTCAAAGTGACAGTGACCGAAATTCGTAATAATTAAAAAAAGCGGACGGGGCGACTATGGTGTTTCGTCACATTGTCAGGTGGGCAAACCAAATGAAACAAAATATTAAAAACCCCAACGGCTGTCAGTTTTGTGTCCGGACTCTTGTCTAAGGTATATACAGGGACTCTAGAAAGAACGATGTAGCTAATTTGACATGGGTAGTAGATATGGAGATGGAGGAGATAACGGGTGCCTTCAACAATAATTGAGTGGCGAGAATTGACAAGCCCCGGGGTTTATCGCGGGAGAGAGAAGGACATATAATGCCCTCTCACTCGTGGGAGAACGTTATAGTGGGCAGTACTTCATCATACTTCGTCTCGTAAGCAACTGGTTGGCTCAGTAGGCAGAGCATCGGCATGCCAAGCCGGCGGGCCGGGGTTCGAATCCGTGCGAGGCTCATCTTTTTTTTATTTTTTTCTTGTTCTCAAGTGATTTCTAAAAAATATTCTCTATGGGAAATAGGTTCATTCAGGGGTTTTCTATGTTTGTGGTTTAGGCCAGAGGTGAGGTTCGGTTAGGTTAGGTTAGGTTAGAATAGAATAGAATAT